TGCCTTATGTCTCCCTAGAAGTTTTAACGGCATATTTCTTCTGCGAATGCATTCCAAAGAGTCACCTACGATCCCGGCCTTTAAAAAAGGGACTTAATCAAGCTAAAGTCTTTGGAAACCCCCGTGCTGTCATAATTCATAAGGCAACAGTCAAAACCTCCTTATATGTTCCCCCCTCCTCTGCAACAAAGCCTAGCTAGACCCTCTAAGAACAGGCCATTATTTTTTTACCCCTTTTGTGAAGGTCACACCCGCTATAAAGGATATAATGGAGGTCTGCAGAAGAATTTATAGCCTAGTGGTCAACCAGAATAAAGAAAGAGCTGCTGTGGAGGAGGAAATTTAGTGAAGCATAAACTAGACTGCGTAGGGTGTCGTGCACAAGCTATTAATTGGAGTCAAGGAAAGCTTCAGCAGCAATTTATTGCCATGCGTGCTTGCCCCTCCCCCTTGCTGAGCACACCGCTATCTTCTTGCATTAGCAATGGAGCCTCGGGAGAGAGAGGCTCTGTATTTCAGATTTAACCTGCTGTATCTCATCTGTGAGTAATAGCGCTCTGTGTGTGTGAGAGAGAGAGACAGAGACAGAGAGAGATGGCTGAAAAGATGTCCCATGGGGTCTTTGGAGGTGTCCCAGTTATGTGGTCTTCTGCCTCATTCCCCCCCCTTTTGATCATCTTTGTTCCCATCCACTAACCAGCTGCTTCCTGTATGTTTCCTTACGATTTTTCTATCAGGATGCCGAAGGAGGGCACCTCACATTGCTTCCTGGCACTAGTATTCAGTACCCTTCAGAACGAAGACTGCTTTGGGGACTCTTCCTTCTGTCCTTATGTTCTGACCCTGTGGAAACCACACACAGTCTTTCAGACATGAAGCTGCCTTATACCACATCAGACCCTTGGTCCATCCGAGCCAGTCTGGCAACGGCCCTCCGGGGTCTTCGGCAGAGGAACATCACCTGATCCTTTCAGCTGGAGATGTCAGGGATTGAACCTGGGGCCTTCTGCATGCCAAACAGATGCTCTACCACTGAACCATGCCCCCCCCCCTCCTATGACGTGTTGTGTTTATAGTCACACTGGGAAAAGACAGGTGGCTGCGTTCTCTTCACTTCTTTCCATTTTCGAAAGAAAAAGATGGTGCCGCTAGCAGTGTGCAAAATACAAAATAAAAAAAGTGACAGCAGACCCAGAAGGGGGTCTTTGAGCCTAGCCCCTCTTGAACTGTTTTTCTGCTAAGCTGCATGTCCCGAATCTGAAAGCGGGTTTTTGTTGGTTGTAGCTAAGCCGGTGTGTGTGGACCCTGGCCACCTCCCTTTTCGTTTTGGAGCCACAATGCAGTAGAAAGCTTTCTGGCCTGGTGCCCACCTAGGCAGTCCCCCTGTGCCTTTGCCAGGTACTCTCTCGGTGGTCTTAGGCAAGAGTCTGCCGTAGGAGAGGGTAATAGCGCTAGACCGCTTCACGGGGCTCTTGTAAACATTGTGGGGAGAAATATTTAACAATTTAAGAGGGTTCAAAACATTTGCCATTAGCATTGTAATTATTAACATTATGCTTCATTTTATGATTGCATTAGAAAGAAGGTGTTGGTTGGCTTTGTTTAAGTTGTGGAAATGTTCACTGAATCTGGTTTGCATTTCTGATATGAAGAGCCGTTTGTTTTCCCGAGTTTCTGAAGAAAGCCCGCGCATGACTTGGGGATAGAAATAGATTCTTTTAGCTCACAGGATGTATACTGTCTGCCCTTTCCAGTGCTGGCAAAGCCACCCTCCCTCAGCATCCTCTCTCTTTCCTAGCTTCTTTGACCTCAGTTGTTGTTCTGGATGCTTTACAAAGGTCAGGTAGATTGTTAGAAAAATGGGGGAGAAGATTTCCTAGACTATGTGTTCCCATACTCTCTGACATTTCACAGACGGAAATAGACACAAGCTTGTAATCCACTCCTCTAACACTTTGCAAGGCACGCTCTTAAATGCTCTTCTCTACAGAGTTTGTTTTATTATGCAGTATCCCGTCCCCTGCCAAATACAAAAGCCAAATAGGTGGTTGTTCTTTTTGGCTAATGTTTTACTAGGAATAAAGTAATTATTCTACAGTGTGCTACCAACTGTCCAATTGTCCCAAATGTAGAATAGAATCATAGAGTTGGAAAGGGACCTCTAGGGTCATCTAGTCCAACACCCTGCACAATGCAGGAAATTCACAAATACACCCCCCCCCCCGCAACACACAGACCCAGAAGATGACAAGAAACCCTCCAGGATCTCCAGCCATACTGACCTGGAAAAAAATTGCTTCTTGACCCCAAAATGGCAATCAACATTTCCCTGGGCGTGTAAGAAAGGGCCTCAAGAACCAAGCACTGATGCCGCCCTTCCTGCCCCTCCCTTCTCGTGATCTGCCTAAGTTCACACAATCAGCATTGCTGTCAGATGGCCATCTAGCCTCTGTTTGAAAACTTCCAAAGGAGAGCCCACCACCTCCCAAGAAAGCCTGTTCCACTGAGAATTTATGTTTTAAATGATTGTTAATTTTCGGTTATTTATATGCTGATGATGTTTTTAACTGTATTTATGCTTCATGAATGTTGTAAGCCGTCATGAGACCACCCTGGCAGGGCGGGCGGGATATAAATCAAATTAATTATTATTTATTGTTGTTGTTGTTGTTGGTCTCAGTGGCTGCAGTGTATGAAGCATCTGGCTGTACACTGCATTGGCGTTACTATTCATGCATGCGTATCTGCCCACATGTGCACTAGAGATGAGATAAATCCACTCCACAGATCTGACATCTACTAGAGCGGAGTTTCCCAGCCTTGTTGGTCAGGACCCGACAGGGGCTCACAAAGCCTCTGAAAGTGGGTCGCAGGCCAGCCTCCCTAATATCCAACCGTGCCCGTTCCATTGCTGTCTTTTGTATGTTGGAAACCAGGATTTAACCCTGGAAACAGTACCTTTTATAGCTAGGTATATCTGGTGAAGGGACTTTTGACTCTCAAAAGCTCTTACCCCAAAATCTTGTTGGTCTCTAACGTGTTCCTTGGTTCAAATCTAACTGTTCCGCTGCAGACCAACACAGCCTCCTTCTGAAAGTATCTTCTGTGTTGTACATTAGTTGGTATTTTTTCTCCACTGCATAAACAAGTTGGTCAAGTAAACTGTGTCCTGATGGCTACTAGAATGCGCTTCCTAGAATCTTAGGGGAGAGTAGAAGGAGTGATGGAGAAGGAGAGGGGGTGGTCAAAGGCTGGACTGTAACCTCCATATGTCGGAATGCCACTTGCTTAAGGTCCCTAGTGGGGGCAGCTGTGCCCTTGGTGTGATGTTTGTTGGTTTCTCAAATAAATCTGGTTAGCCACTGTAGAAGATGGAATGCTGAACTAGATGGGGGCCAAGGTCGTAGTTTGCCTAGGGCGCCAAAAAGCCTCAGGTCAGCCCTTGATGGGTCACCAGACCAAGTCAGTTCGGACTTGTGGGTCACCATACCGAAAAGGCTGGGAACTGCCTTGGCTAAATCCTGAAGAATTTCGATGTGAGCAACTCATACGAACAAAGCTGCAACAAGACATCCCCAAAAGGCAGATCTGGTAACAGTGCGTTTTCGGGAGCAGGGTCCAGGGGGAGGACGAGTTTCCAGGGGCAGGGGGAGCATACGGTTCCCTGGCTTGGAGTCTTGCAGCACTGCGCATACTGACTGACGACAGAGACGATCTTCACAGTTCTGAGAGTCTTGTTTGGCCACAGCGAGGGCTGGAATTTCAGTCGCATTTTGAAGGTTGGCTTACTTCTGTTTTGAAAATATTGCTGCTCACCACAAGTCTTTAAAACAGGGTAGGTTACGTACAAGTTGGTGAAGTGATGAAGTCTAGATTTAAAGGAAAGGTTTAAAAGTTGGCTGTTCTGAAGGAATTTTAAAATCCAGGAGAGTCCCAGTGTAGATTATTCTCCGTGCTGTCTAAAGTTTTGTATGTTTTTATTATAGTGATCTGTAACTTGTGAGTTTGAAGCAAGGTAATAACTGCAGAAGTTGAACAAAGTTTGAGTCCAGCGGCACCTTTAAGACCAACAAAGTTTTATTCAGTGTCGAAGCTTTTGTGTGCAAGCATGCTTCCTCAAGACCAACAAAGGTGCCACTGGACTCAAACTTTGTTCTGGTGCTTTAGACCAACATGGCTACCCACCTGGATCTAACTGCAGAAGTTGTTATAATTTATATATTCTAGGATAAATATCCACACTTTTTTTTTTTTTGCCTTAGTGTCCCTTGGGGGAAATGAGATCACTGATTTCTGTAAAGCTAGCTGTGCAAATTAACACATCCTTAACAAATCCCTTCTATGGTAGAAATAAATGTGCCTGTTAAAAAGGAACCAGATTTCCTGAAGCAGTGTCAAGGATTCTGTAGGTCTCTTATACTTACAAGGCCAGAAATAATAACTTTTCTGGAAAAGGGAAGGTCCTCTTCATACACACGAAAGGCATTCAGGTTTAAAAATGATAGTCTTGTCTTTTTGTGAGCTTTCTTTGAGCTATAAGATGATGTGCATCTTTGCAGAAGGGTGAATATATTCGCTGCCATCCTCTGTATGTTGCGAGTCTGGGAATCCACCTTGCCCTCGTCTGCCACCTTCAGCATGGGTCAGCCCCTGGGTCTCTGATAGTGGGATTTTTGCACAAAGTATTTCTGTGTCCTGGACCTCAGTTTTGCAGCATACAAAATGGGTCTGGATGAGAATTGTCTGGGCTTTACCCCTGTTGCTTTGTAAATGTTCAGCTGGTCTGCTGTAAGCATGCCAGGATTGGCTACCTTGTTTGGCATGAGAGCCATGTTGCATTTTGGACCTTCTAATAACAGCAGGGTAGCACAACAGAGTCTGTATGCCCTCTGTGGTCTGGTGGGCTCTAAGGAGGATACATGAAGGTACTGGAAAGGTGCAGACATGCTGATGAATCCGTGCTCCACTTGCTGATGCTGTGACGATGGCTCTTTTTATAGCGGATGCCTTTTTCAAAGCTGCCATAAGCCTCGTTTTTGAGGTGCCAAAGATGATCAACATAGATGGGAAGATGCGGCCCTCGGAAGCATTCCTCCTGGAATTCCTCTGCAATTTCTTTTCCACTTTGTTAGTCATTCCAGTAAGTAGCGAATGTTTTAATCCCTTTCTGGGCTGAGACCGTGATGCCTTTTGCAAGGTTGGCTCACCTTCGAATGGCAGGGGAAGGAGCTAGTTTCTACCTGGATTGTAGTGCATGTGGGGACTAACACACTTCTCTGAATATAGGGAAACAGTGTATCTGGCACGTGTGGGTGCATTCCCACACCTCTCCATGACATGCTAGTTTCCTAGGTGTAAGAAAGCCTTTTGGGAAGGAGGAGTCTGTTGCATGTGTCCTTCCTTTCAGTCTGTGAGCCCTCGGCGGCAGGCAGGGAGTCGAGTTGCAAACACTGAGCAGCTGGTGGACCTAGAGTCAAATCTCCCTCTCTGCTTGCTAGTTGACCTTGAGCCAGTCACTCTCTCTCAGCCTAACCTACCTCACAGGGTTGATGTGACAATAAAACAGAGGAGGGAAAGATGTGATTGTAAATAGTTCTGGAGCCCTCACAGACAGAAACAGATGCAGGACCAAGGACAGTTCAAGGGTAGAACAGACCTTGCTCTCACAATAAGGGTAGAACAGACCTTGCTCTCACAATAGGCAAACCTCCATGGAGCTTTTATGGCCTGTGTTCCCTGAAAGGCCAGATAATGAAACTGAAGCTCAAATACTTTGGCCACCCAATGAGAAGGGAGCCCTCCCTGGAGAAGACCCTGATGCTGGGAAAGATTGAAGGTCAAGGAAGACGGGGACGGCAAAGGGTGAGATGGTTAGACAGTGTCATAGATGCAACGAACATGAAGTTGAGCCAACTTCAGAGGACGGCGGAAGACAGGAAGGCCTGGCGGGATCTGGTCCATGGGGTCGTGAAGAGTCGGACTCGACTGTGCGACTGAACAACAACAACAAACCAAGCTAAGGAATGAAAGGAACTTGAAAATGCAATGCTAGAGTTCAGAGCCCTTGAGCAGCCTCTAGTTATTTGCCCTTCACGTGCACACAGACCATACACACACACACACAGAGGGGATCAGGTGAGTTTGGTTGGTTGGTGCATCAGTACAGGTAGGGCAGTTCAGCCTTCTGAGGCAATGTTAGAGTTCAGAGCCCTTGAGCAGCCTTTAGTTATGTGCCTTTCACACGCACACAGACCACACACACACACAGGGGATCAGGTGAGTTTGGTTGGTTGGTGCATCAGTGCAGGTAGGGCAGTTCAGCCTTCTGACTAACAGCTTCCAGATTGCTGGGCCTTCCAGCTGTAGGCTTGGATCCAGCAGTAAATCTTCACTGGCAGAAGACATTTCCATCAGTGGAATGGGACTTCCTCACCCTGCCCCCCACCCCCTTCCCGTGGCTGGATTTCTTCCTGAAAAGCCACCCCTGGAGGACAGATAAGAAACCCTCAGAAATCGCATCAGAGTCAAATTGATGAGAATCCGTGAAAATCTTCTCTTCTGAGGCCTTTGTGTCTAAAATGTGCACCCTGTTAAACCGATTGAAATGAAGTGGCTAACGTAATTTGCTCAAGTTTTTCGAAAGACTCTAAAGTCTTTCTGCCTAAGTGTTGGGTGGTTCACGGACAGCTGAGCTGACAAAAACATCTTCAAATATGATGTTACAATGATTTTAGCAGCTTTGGAGGGTTTATTTAACATTATAGTTGCTGCTAGTTTTTTGGGGAAAGAAACTAGTTGGTTATAATTAGTCATTACTTTGGTGTTGGTCTTTTTTAGGATCACCCTGAACAGGGTGTGTTGTTTCTCGTGCGAGGGCTGCTCAATGTTATCCAGGACTACACTTGGGAAGATAACAGTGATGATAAAGTCCGGATTTATGCAAACGTTCTGCATCTTCTCTCGGCCATGAATCAGGAGACCTACATCTATCATGTCGACAAAGGTAAAGTGTGAACTTTTGATGTGTGTAGGGGTGGCTGCATTTTACTAGAAATCAGCCTCCCCCAAGTCATCATATCAAATGTTGCCTCACTAAGGACTAGGGGATTATTTATACAGCTTGCAATCTATGCACAGCAAGTAAATGTCCACTTTCTCACATTCCTCTATAGTCCTCATTCTACGGCCTGCGTCTCAACCCCAAGGAACATCATGGGGGTGCTCACCCTTGTCCATAAGGGGAGATTCCAACTGTGAGCAAAAATGGAGTTTAGGATTTGAGCCACACATACATAATCAGTAAAATACAGGACCACTGACTATGCCAAGGTATCTACCTTCTCAAATTTGACAGTAAGGAGAAAACCAAAGAGAGGGCAGTGATGGGTGACACAAGTGTAACAAGGGAGAAATGTGAGCATGTGTCATTCCACATACTTAGATGTGGCCCTGATTAGAGATGTAAAATTTCTGGAAATTTTGAAGCTCGGAAAAACCCTCGGGTTTTTTCCAGGTTGTTTTTTTTTTGGGAAAAACGGAAATGTTCGGAAAAATTGAAAAAAAACATTAGCACTTCTTTTGTCTTTTCTAGATTGAAAGTCATTCTGTTACTTTAGGAACATAAAATATGACTATGGACATGTTTACTTTGGCATGAAATTATCACAACTAGCATATTAAAAATATAGTGTATCCAAACAGTTATTACAAACAGAATACCTGCCCACATGCAAAAACAAAACTAAAACCTTTTTCTTTTCTCGTGACAATAGCACCTCCTAAAGGAAGAAATGCATCTTGTTCTTGCATTGGAGAGTTCAGTTTGTAACCTAGGACTTGTCCTCAGTGCACAGAAATAAAATATTTGAACACCTTGTCTTAAAATATTTTATTCATCATGTTAAAATAAAACATTCCATAATCAATTTTTTTCTTTTCTTTTCTTTTTTCAATTTTTCCAATTTTTTGGGGAAAAACAAGCTTCAGGGGAAAAACGGGAAAAACCCGTTTTTTCCCCTAATTTTTCCAGTTTTTTTCCGGGCCTTCACATCTCTAGCCCTGATCCCTAAGTTCAACTGTGGGTGATGCCACAGTTCTGTAGTAGAGGAGCAACATGAACACAGACAGCTCCTGCCGTGAACTCTCCCTTGCATGTGAATGGCCGATGGCATGGTGACCACGACTGCATGATCCTTCTCCCTCAAAAAGTAGGCAAGGCAGCGTGAACTGGGCAGAGGTTCACTTTAGTGCAGGTGAAAGTCTTGGCAACAGATTGAATATGGAGAGTAAAGAAAAGAGGGGTGATCAAAGATTTTGTGCCCGGTCTCTGTGTGCATCCCTAGTTCTGAACTGAGTTGCACTCTACCAGTGAACAAAGCGGAGGAACCGTGGGCACCTTTCATGTGGTCCCTGTTCCTCAAGCCATGTAAATAAAGCCTGCAAGTAAACAAACTTCCCCTGCTTTGTATGGATTTGATGCACCCCAAGTAGCTGGGCAGGGGGCTCAGTGCTCATTTTCCCGAGGATGTACTTCAGAAACGCTTACAACCTTGACCCCCCCCCCCCCCCCCCCCCATACTGAGTTTGCAATTGGATTACTATCTTCCACAAAGAGCCTAAGCGCTTAATCCATGTGTTGCAAACCTTATTTGTGCAAAACATGGGATTAAACACTGTTTTGCTTCGGTGACTCTCAAGCAGTGGTTCAAAGGCCTTTCATGTACTTGAAGCTTTAATAATCGTATCTTATCAGTGCAGGTGTGCTCAGGTTTGTTTAATTCTCATGGTAGGAAAAACAGAACTAATAAGGCTATAGTATACCTTGCCTCCCCCATCACAATGAAGAGCAAAATTGTGTGCATGTGTGAGAAGTATTTGTTTGTTAGAACTCTGGGCAAGACCACCAGGATGTCACTTTTAATTTGTGGGACGTCGTGGTTTTCCTGGGAAACCACGTACTTCTCCAAAGTAGGCATTCATACTTCAGCTTGCTGGCAGGATTGTGATGATCCTGTTGTGGACTCCAGGTTGATTCCACACAATGCGATCCTGAAGGTCCTCAGTGGAGGCCTTGCTCTGTCCGTCGTCCCCCCCCCCCCCAGTCTTTTTAAAAAAATACTATAAAATTAAACTTTCTGTTTAAAGGGCTTGATGGAGGCTGGGGTAGAGGGACTCCTCTGATGAGCCCTATAAGCTGCCTCTAGAATTGCGTCATCAGAAGGCTTTTGGTTATTTGTTAAATATATGGACCATCTTTCTTCCATCATGGAACTCCAGGCAGCATATACAGGATTCCCAGGAGGACGTCTTCCATCCAGGCAGCGATCAGGGACAGTCCTCCTTTGCCTTCAGCAGCACCGTTTTGGATTCTGAGCCTTCCCATCCAAGCTTTAATAATGATCTCCTTTAAGGCAACAGAGTGTAAGCTGGAGGAAGGATGGTTCCACTCCTCCAGGGTCATGTACAACATCAGAAATCCACAGTGGCCACTTTAACAAAGGGTGCCACTTTAGGCCACATCCCACCGTCTGTCACTATTCACCAGCCTAGGAACTGGGCCTTTTCTTCCTTCTTTGTTCCCCAGGTGACTTCTAAAGACAGCTCAGCAAGCGGTGCATGCCCAGTGGAGCTTCCAGAACTCTTGCAGATGTATGAGACACGCACAGCTTACTGAACTGTCCTTAAAGACCATTGGGGAGGGAGGAGGGAAAGAAATGGCTGCTACGGCTCCTGTAGGGAGGGTTAAGTGGATCAGTGGTGGCCAGCCACTCCCCAAAATGCACCACCTGAGGCCGCCATCTTGTAGAATAAATCACAGAGATTAATAACGTAAAAGTAACTCTCATCTTACGAAAATGGCAGTACAGGAACTGGGCCCAAGAGCAACCAGTTGAACGGCGTGTTTTTCCAGCTTAACATACATAGGTCCAATTCTTAACATTGCTATTTTAACACATACTCTTAATATGAGAATCGATCCTAAAATATTATGTTCAGTATGGTTTTTTTCAATGAACTTAACAGGAATTCAACAGCAATCGAGGTTCTGATTTCAGAGGAAAGGCTAAAATTAGAGAAAGTGTTTCTTTCCAAAATCAAAGAACACGCTGCCAGAGGAGCAATTTTTCTTTCATATTTCTGAAGAAAAACAGAGGTTTTAATCAAGTCAGAATAATTAGACAAACGGCTCATTAGTGTAGTTCCCAGAAGAAACAGAATTTTGAGATGGGTTATAGAACTTCTGTGCGATCGGCAGAGGATATTTGCATTTTATGTGCTTAGAAATCTGATGGGGGTGGAGGTGTTCTTCATTGTGGGTTTCAGTGGTCAAAATAGACTTGTTTTGGGCCGCTTGCAGGGAAAAGTCACGTAACACACCAAAGCATCAAACTGCAGTAGGAAGCATCTACATGGAAATTGCACGGCCAGCTTTACAGGTGCCAAAGTTGTTCTTCTGTCCCGCTCCCACAAGTTGTACTGTGGGTGGACCAAATTTTATGCCTTACGGGCTGCAACAGTCGGGCATTCTGTCTAACTCTTCAGGCACGGAGAACTCTTTTTTTTGAAAGAGCGAAAGTAAAAGTCCTTGCTACCTTTTCCAGAGTGGATGCCTCCTCTGCTTCCAGCTGGTGGTGGAAAGTGTTGTCAAGTCGCAGCTGACTTGTGGTGACCCTGCAGGGTTTTCAAGGCAGGAGACGAGCAGAGGTGGCTTGCCATTGCCTGCCCCTGCGTAGCAACCCTCGGCTTTCTCTGTGGTCTCCCATCCAACTACTCGCTAGGGCCGACCCTGCTTAGCTTTCAAGATCTGACGAGACTGGGCTACCCTTAGTTCAGCAGTTCGAGACCCGAGTGTGCCTCATGACGGAGTGACCTCCCGTCTCTAGTTCCAGCTCCTGCCAACCTAGCAGTACGAAAGCAAGAAATTGCAAGTAGATAAATAGGCACCACTTCCGTGGGAAGGTAGCAGCGTTCCGTGTGCCTTAGTGTTTAGTCATGCCGGCCACATGACCACGGAAACGTCTTCGGACAGCGCTGGCTCTTCGGCTTTGAAACGGAGATGAGCACCGCAACCCTAGAGTCGGGCTGGACTGGCTTTCGAGCAAGGGAACCTTTACCTTTAGCCTAGGCCATCCAGATCAGGGCCTGCTCCCAGTTAACGCTGCTTACATTTATATCCCACTTTTTGACTATAAAGTCCTCAAAGCAGCTTACAAAATGTGAGGTCCTTCTTCCATTTCTTCTCCCAGTCCCAATATATGAGTCTCCATTGCTGAGGGAACACTTTAGCCTAGAATGGGAGACCTTCGTATCCTGAGAACCAAACAAGGAGGGGTTCCGAATAGACTTCTAGATGCTCCGAACAGCTAGACGTGACAGTTGTTGAAGGAAAAATAGCCTTCTAAAATCAGTTACATGTTTTTACTTGCATCCTTCTCCTGTTTTTGAATCTGGAACATCCTGGTTTCTCAGTGGAATCCAATGATACCTTGTATGGTGGAGATACCAAATTTCTGGCAGAAATCAGCAAACTGTGTGAAACGGTGATCGCTCAGATCCTGGAGCATCTGAAGAGCCTTGGGAAAGATGAGGTAAGAGAGAGACCTTTCTGTTGGCAGCGCAGACTATTTTCTGAAAGGGATGCAAGAGGAACAGCATTGCTGGTGGTGAACACATTGTCTCTCAGCTCCAGGGTGGGCTGGGGAGGGGGCATTTTTATGTTCCCCTTTGACCTTTCCATCCCTGCTCAGTTATACACGTGCATCGGTGTCATCTGATCCAAGCTTTCCTGGGCTCATTTAATCTGAGACCAGCGCAATCCTCGCCGTCTGTCTGCTTTTCCCTGATACTTTTGAGGAAGAGCAGCATACCTTCTGAAACACCAAGAGATGCACAGTATCTTGGATGTTCTTTAGTTAATTGGGAAGGGATCCCAGCAGAGTGTTGGTGCGTTGCGTGTGTCTTGCTCAATTCCTGGCACCCCCAGTTAAAGGATCTCTCTGATTGTGGAGCTGTGAAAGGGCTCTGCCTTGGATCCTGGGAGAGCCATTGCCAGTCACGCTCAGCTGTACTGGGTTTAACAGAGCATTGTTTGGACTCTGTTTAAGGCAGCTTGTTATCTTACGGAGGAGGTTGTTGCTTCCTGCAGCTGAATATCAAATCCGTAGGTCTGTTCAGTTGTTACTGTTTTTACTGTAGGGCACAGGGAAGCAAATTTTACAGCTTTCTAGAGCCAAAGTCTTTCAAAATGCAGAGCGAGGGATAATAAAGAGCCAGTATAAGAAAGCCCCATCTGCATAACGGAAAACGTACAACTTAACATTGCTGATCATTGGCAGGTTGGTTAATAACCCATAAAATTTCTGCAGCCCAAGCACTGGTTGATGAGAGTCCTTTCTTAGGACGGACGCGCATGAGGTCTCACAGTAAGTCATAAATATACACAGGAGCACCCGATGAACTTGTTTTAGGGCACTGGCGCATGCCCTGAATTTGGGATTCCTGGCAACTGTTTTGTTTCTGTAATGCATCTCTGAGCAGCCCTTTAGCCCCGTGGAAATCTTTGCCGGCCATTTCCCCTCCCATACTGGTTATTTCAGCAACCCATCGACCCTTCCAATTTACTTCAACTTAAAGATTTCTTTTTTCATTTTTAAGGACCCGTATTTTTCCCTTGCTGAGCCACATTTATTGTGGAGCTGTAAGTAGGTAGCAGACCTCTGGTCTAGAGGCTGGTTATCCAATAAAGGGCAAAAACTTCACATGCACACCCTTTTCGTCATTGGTCACTTAGCTGGAATAAATCTGTTATGTGTTTTTGCCCTGTACTTGAGTGAGTCACTTCAGTGGAAGCCATAATAATATTTAGTATTTTTATAGTGCTTGGAAGCTCTTCGTGTACACTGTGATAATCCTGGTAAATTAGATAACTGTTACCTTCACATTGTAGATGTGAGAGGAAGGGGGGACGAAGGCTGAGAAAATGTGGCTCGCCTGTGTTGTGGGGGTACATCCATGGCAGCAGCGAGCCTCAGATTGGGGACCTCCCATATTTCTGGTGTGGTTGCTCAGGCACGGGGCTACAACAGTGTTTGTAGACTGGGATAGTTGAAACAGCCCCTCAGCTTGGCCTGCTGCCAGTGGCCCTCCAGGGTAGACGCCCACTAGGACTTCCCTACTAAGTTAAAGGGCCGGCCCACCTCTACATGGGGGGGGGGAGTCCCTCTCGGGGCACGGCAGCTGAATCTAGAAGCAGCTTCCTTGGACACCCTTCCCCCGTATTGCTGTTCAGCTGAAGCGCTTTCTTGTTGGGTGTGTGTGTTTTGCAGATTCTCCTGTCAGCGGGGCCAGGTGGTTTTCCTCCCCTACCCCTGCTTTGGCCGTCATTCACACCGGGCTGCTCCAGAGGAGTACGAAATGAGTTAATGGATGTGGCAGGTCGGCCGCAGCTGCTTGGCTGCTTCCAAGTGTTCTTGTGGAGACGGCTGGCGGCTCTGCCTCTGAGTGGAGGGCGCCCTTCTTTCCAAGGGAGCACAGCAAAAAGGACATCCTGAGAGAGGGGCGGCTTTCAGAGAGCGTCCAGCCCACTAAGTGGGGGGTTATGCCTGCAGCTTGTTGGGCTGGCTTCCAGGGCGTGGCAGGTGGCTTGTGGGATTCCTCCCTGAGGCTGTCTCCTCCAGCTGCTCCTGCTGCTGCTTCCCTTCATGTTCAACCCTATGCTTTGGAGGTGTACCTAACCTTTTGCTATTTTTGCAATGCTGGCACAAATGAACGTGGATTCACACGCATCCCACAGTGGGAGTCTGTGTCCAGCGGGTCTGTTGTTTTATAGTAGGCAGGCAGGAAGGAATAAGTTAAGGGGGAGAGGACAGCTCAGGGCCTATGCTAGTGAGGCCCCGCTTGGCATCTTTTACTTGGCCTTTCCAAAGAAAGAGGTGAGATTGGTTATGGCCTAAGTGTTACTTTAATAATAACCCTGCCCTTTGCTCTTCAGTGGAGCCCTGTCTTCCAATTAAAACTGGAGACAGGTCTGAATTACCACTGCTTTTATATTTTCCAAGCCCTTTTTTTTGCTACTCTCTCACTGCATCCCTTTGCTCAGCGGTTAAGTCTGTAGCACCTTCTGCTTTCTGTGTCAAGAAAGCTACAAATGGCAGATCTGGGGACTTTTCCGTCATGTCCTGAATCATGGGTTTCCCCCTCTCGCTTCCTTCCCCCTTTAATACTAAACATTTAGCTTTAAGTGGTGTCCTGAGGAACAAACTCTTATTTTGCTACTTTGAGATGTTTCGATTGGTCCTAATCAGAAGGAGGTGCAGTGGCTCAAGTGGTTAAGACGCTGAACTGCAGGCTGTGGAAGGTCGGTAGTTCAGCGGTTCGAGACCCGAGTGTGCCGCATGACGGAGTGAGCTCCCGTCTCTAGTTCCAGCTCCTGCCAACCTAGCAGTTCGAAAGCAAGAAAATTGCAAGTAGATAAATAGGTACCACTTTGGTGGGAAGGTAACAGCGTTTCGTGCGCCTTGGTGTTTAGTCATGCCGGCCACATGACCAGATGGATCCACAAAGCTTTCTACTACTCTTCATTTCCAAGTCTTACACTGCAGTTTCCAATAAATTGACTACACAAATTAATAGGTGAAAACCGCTGTACACGATATTACATTATAATTAAATGTCAAAGACTTCATTTATAATACGAGATCGCTCAAGCATTTCAGAATAATTATGAATAATTCAACCCTTCTTCCTTCTCATACTATCATGTCACTCTTGCCGGTTCCCCTTTTGTTTAGATCAGGTGGTCCCCAACGTGGTGCCCGTGGGTAACAATGGCGCCCACTGACAGCTGTCCTGGTGCCTGCCAGATGTTCTTAGGAAACAGGCAAGGCCAAGTGAGGCTTTTGCCCAGTAAGCCTTCTGACAGGCCACTGGAGATTGGATTGGCTGCACACATTTTTAAAATGTTGCTTTGGCAGCAGCTGCTACCACAGCACAAGAAATTCCACTGTATGATTGAAGAGGAAGAAGAGGAGTAGTAGTAGTTTGGATTTATACCCCACCCTTCATTACCCGAAGGCGTCTCAGAGCAGCTTACAATCTCTTTTCCCTTCCCCTCCCCACAACAGACACCCTGTGAGGTAGGTAGGCTGAGAGAGCTCTTTTGAAAACTACTTGTGAGAGAACAGCAGCTCTGAAAGAACTTGTGACTGACCAAAGGTCACGCCAGCAGCTGCATGTGGAGGAGTGGGGAACCAAACCCGGTTCTCCCAGATTAGAGTCCACACTCCTAACTACTACACCAAACTGTAGTCATTTTGTGGCTGCGCCCACCGAACTTTGTTGGAAGGTGCCCACAGGCTCAAAAAGGTTGGGGATCCCAGGTTTAGATCAATAAATGCATATTGAATAGGTTTCTCTCTCTGTCTTCCTCAAGTCTCTACATAGCATATAAATGCTGGCTTAGTAAATAAAACCAAGATACCTGTGAGGCTACCCAGAACTTTAAACTGATTAATAAGTTTTTTCCCCTTAATAGCATACTTTCGGTGGGGGGGGGATCTTCCCACTAATTTTCAGTTGATGATTGAAGGGTCCTTTGCTGAGATGTTGTGGATGCTTGAAGCATCGGTTCATCAGAGTCGGTATTGTCTCCTCCAACTGGCAGTGGCTCTCCAGGGTCTCAGGCAGAGGTCTTTCACATCACTTACTGCCTGGTCCTGTTTTAACTGGAGATGCCAGGGATTGAACCCGGGACCTTCTGCATGCAAAGCAGAGGCTCTGCCACTGAGCCACAGGTCCTCCCTATTTTTCTGTTATTATTGTTCCATTGTTTGATGTCCCTTGAAGACAAACAGGAAGCTCATCTTGTGTCTCTGGTGGGCTTTGGATATCATTAACATTTAGGAGGGCAACAATAGAAGCAAAATGAATATTTTTGAGGAGGTGGTGCTTCATACCACGTTGCCACTACAATCTTCTTCCACCCCATATTCCAGAAGATTTTACTCTTAGGGCGTGACCACCATATATGTAGGCAATCATCTGTCAAACACAACCTTTCCAAGATCAGCCTGAACAAATGTCTTTTTTCTGTTAATTTCTTGGATGTGAAAACCCATCAATGCATAATTTTGTAATTCAGTTTCCTGACATTTGAGATGTATTACTCCAGACTAGATTTTGGTACATATTTCCCATGTGGATTTATCTAGATCTTTATTCTGTGGCACTTTACATAAGTAGTGCAGTCTTGAGCAGAGTGAGCACCCTTCAATTGAAGTCACTGGGTTTAGATGGATAGAACTCTGCTAAATTAGGATTGTACTGTAAACATTGTTTCTGAATGAAACTGTAGAGGTGAGGCAGCTGCCTAACTAGAAAAAGAACAGATTTGAGGATTTGAGGATCTTATTTTTCTTCAAGGGACGCCAGTATTCATGTAACATGATCAGTCATGAATTCCATCATGTTGGGTTTCTCTGTGATAACCGCCTTAACATATGCAGTGGTCATTAATGGAGGAAAGATTTGTCTGCAGTGCCTTATTGATGGGTCACCAGAATCCATCTTGCCTGACGCCATGCACCAAGTTTTTTCCAATAATCAATAATAGTAAATGTTGTTGGCACAGAGCGTGGTTATACAATATTCATCCAGTGGATTCTCCCCCGGCTTGGTCTTCGATACAGTCTTGCAAGCTGCAGACCAAATGAATTCCTTGTTTATCATTGTTGTAGACTTTAAAGCGACAGAGCCAGCTGGCACTCTACTTCTTCAACAGCATTTTGGCTCATGGAGATCTGCGGAACAACAAACTCAACCAGCTTGCTGTGAACCTGTGGAACCTGGCTCAGAAACACGGTTTTGCTGACACAAAAACCATGGTAAGGGAAGCAGGAATAGACCTTGAAACTACTGGTGTTTGTAACCTGAAGGGCAAGCTTGGTCTTTTGGGGGGAGGGGGGTCTACAATTTCAACTTGCAGAAGTCTTGGCTTAGCAGAATAAGGGGTTAGAATCATAGAATGTTAGAGTTGGAAGGGGTCTTGCAGGTCATCTAGTCCAACCCCCTGCACTCTGCAGGAGCGTAGCCAAAAGATAGCCCTACAACAGAGATCTCTTCCGCTAATTGTGGCACTTCCCTCCAGCACAAAGGAGCCATTTGCTGATGCAAGAATCAGGGGAAGGTCCCGTGTGCCAAAGGAAGCGACCCAGCTCTAAGCTCTTTCTAACTGCTGGACCTTGAAAAAAATTACCTTATTGTCAGGGTTGTTTGTTCTCTGCTCCCCAAATAAAAATAATAAAGCAAAAGTTGTTCTTTGGAGCATTATGGTGCATTATGCAATAGTTAAACTGCATGCTTCATTCTGCTTATGCTGATCATGGGAAGGGGTGAGGGGAGCTACACTGGGCACTGGAGTCTTGACCCAGTTTCTGCTGAACAGCCCTCTGACTTTAGCGATTTTCCTCCCCAGACGCTGCCTGCATATTTTCTAGCCTGGTTTTGTTTTTGTTTGCAGCCATAAAGGCTGGAAGCTGGCTCTTCCCCAAATAAGAGAGCAAACAGTGTTATTTTTCTGTGCGAGGGGGCAGGGATTGAGGGAGGAAGCCACTGAGAGGGCATAGGGGAATAAGGTATTTGCTGTTGTAGAGAAAAAGATTATTCCTGCCCTCCCTTCCAGGTGAAAACCTTGGACTATATCAAGAGGCAAAGCAAACACCCTGAGCTGCACCATTTTACAGAGCTGGCCCTCAGACTTCCTCTGCAGTCAAGGACCTGATGAATCAAGAGCCCCTGGAAGGCAGGTTTCCAAAGCCGGTAAAATATAAGCTGTACCTTAAGCTATTATTGGAGTTCAATATCTTTTCATTTGAAAGCGTCCCTCGGTGCGTGAAAGATTTATTCTGACGGAAGCAGGAGGGAGAACTGTCCTGAGTTGCAAACGCCTCTGAGACGAGTCTTTGTTTCCATCTGCACAGCCATTAAAGCATTGAAATGCTAACTTGATTGAAATGCTAACTTTGGGGTCAATAAAATTTATCTTGCGGTTGCAGAAGGGGAAATAACCCGAAACCTTGACATGGTGGTAAAGAAAAGATGAAGGTTACTTTGCATTGCCACTGCAAGCGGCAGCTCTCCAGTGTCGCTGCCTCGGAAGAGATTGTCTCATACATCTGATAAATAGCCGCTGCCCTAGGACTGCTATCAACCCTTTCCTGAATACGTGGCTTGGTTTGATTGAAACACACAATGGAAAAGAACCTCTGGAAAAAAGGCTAGGGGAGAGAGGCTCGGAAGCAAATGTGTTTAGGGAGCTTTTGTAGCGAAGCTCAAAATAAAAGGAGGGGAAGATCTAATCAAGGAAAGGACTCACTGGGCATGAATACAGATATTTCCTAGCATTGCTTAGCTGGCTATTTTGTAATCATTAGGAACGCTTATTAAGATGCATAATCCAGTCTTCATTTGCCTTTTGATTATAAGCCTCAGTGAGGGATGTAATTTTTTCCCTTTCAAATTTCTAGTTAACACACTTGTTAGAGTGAGGGGTGAACCGAACGTCACAGTGGAGAAAGTTGTATGCTTAACCTTGCAGTGTCCTTAACTCCATCCCCTGAACACCAAGCTGGATAAGCTGGGTTTATGTTTTCAGAAAATAGTTGCGATTTGGTGGGCCTGTAGAAGAACGGGATCCAGCAACAGCGGGACTTGGCTGGGAGATTCCCAGAGCGAGCGTCACTGGTGATATGAGCAAGAGAGCGCTTTTGGCCAACGTTGGGTCTTTCAGTTGAACCAAGGCAGACTGTCCTGCAGCAGCAAAATACAGACATGTCTGAATGCCACTTTGGAGGTCTCATTTATTTACAACTATGATAAGTTAATTTTGGGTTGTTGAAACGGGTGCAGAATGTTGCGTTGAAACACAATATGTCGACTTGCTTCCAAACCTTTGCGCAGCATCTGGTTGGAAACTTTTTCTAAACATCTTTCTATGTACATCATACTATTCCTTCAAACCAGCACCTTCTTTGGGATCTGATGCTAGGGCAGTTGCTGTTATCAGATGTACAGGGTACTTATTAAACAACAAAATATTACCTATTTGGCAAAGCCAAACCCACAAATCAAGCTGCAAGTCCTCTCTAGCCAATGGTGGGATTGTTGTGATGTCACAGGAGGGCTCCAGAAACACAGGAGCTCTGTAGGAACAGAGAGGACATGGATGTGAGGACAAAGGGGGTGGGGTGGGGGAGGGCAGGGGAGGTGAGTCCAGGCGTGGGGGAAGGAGGATGCTGATTCCAAAAAGAGAAAACTCAAAGAAGCAAAACAAAAGTACTACTGGGTTTCAGTTACCCCAGACTGAGTAGTGCGTGTTCATATCCTGTACAGAAAGCATTGTTGGAGTTCAGCCTTGAAGAATCTGTCCCAGATAGACCTCGGCTTGGAATGGCCCTAATAACACCAGACGCTAAAGCAGCGGAGGCCACACACTGGAAAGGGCAACAAGCCCCCTTGCAGCTGTGTGTGAACCGGTCACCTCATTCGCACACTTCAGTGGCTTGGTAGTGTGGGCTGCTCTATGTTACTCAACACAGGGGGTTGGGATTAGGAGCTGGGAGACCCAGGTTCAAAACTCGAAAAGAGAAAACTCCACTTTGCCATGGAAGCTTGCTGGGTGAGCTTGGGCTGTTCACACACTCAGCCCCACTTTGTCTCCTAGGGTGAAACGGAGGAAAGGCGAATAATGCAAGCTGTTTGGGTCTCCACTGGGGAGGGAGGCCAGGGTATAAATAAATAATAGAACTGCTCCCACAGTGAGTGACCTTTCGACTGCCAGTCTGGCTTGAGAGTCCATTCATTGATTTTGTTTTGGGGGCCAAGAGAGATCTTCTTTGAGCAAAGGCCTTTGTTACACCAGGGACGCGGTAGAACTGAGGAGGTACAGAGTGGCTATTGTTCACGCAAACCTCCATGTATCTTCCATGTATGACAGGGATACGCAGCCTTTTACAACTGAAGAGGCAAGCGGCATCAAAAGTGAGAGCAAGAGGTCAACAAAGAGCCAATATAAGAGCTCTTTTTTGTACGACGCACAAGATCTTACAATAAGAAACATACACAGGAGCACCCTGTGGAATCGTTTCAGCAAACTGGCATAAATCTGTGCACGATTCCAAGGGGGAATGGCTGAACTGGGTGGCTAAACCACACAGAAGAAGAGCGTTTGTTCGTACGTCAGCCTGCACATGGCCATTCCTGCAACTGGTCTTCTGGTCTTGCACACCTTCTCTGACTAATCTCTGTCATATATAAACCCTTGTCAAAAGCAGGAACATGTTAACCATTCAGTGCAACCTAAGCCCCAGTTCCCTTCTGAGTGGTTATGCAGCTTGGAATGGATTATTTGCTGGCTAGAAGATGGGGTGCCCGGCAATGCTCCCTCTAAGATGTGGAATCTTGTGAGCAAAAATTCTACTCTGTGAGCGACTGGCATTAAAGCTGTGAGCGAGCGATTTGGCTACTGCATAAATTAGTTTGCTCTGGAGCCATCCTTCCTGAGCTACGACAAAAACGTGCGAGCCGGAGGCTAAAAATCTGTGAGCTAGCTCACACTAACTCATCTTAGAGGGAACTCTGGTGCCAGGAGGTCTGAATTCTGAAGCCTGCTGCATAGAAACAGTCACAACTCCAGGTGACCTCCTGACAAGAAGAGGAATGTAATTTTACCCCATGACATAAAGGACTGAACTAGATGTGATGTGGTAGTTACCACGCCTCCCCCCTCAGTGTAAAGCAGCTGGAGTAGGGAAGGGTTGGTTTTGCTTCCTTGCCAGCTGTTTGCTGAACACCCCACCACCACCCCCAGCTTCTTTTCTGGATGGGTGAGAAAACAGCTGGAAGGGGTGTGTGCACGTCTGTCTTGAGCAGACAAGAAGCTGGCAAGGAAAGTGGTAAAAGGTCTCCCCTCTTTCTCTGAAGCTGAAACCACCCACGGTTCATTTGTGTCTGAAAACAACAGTGGAGCCCGCACTGTTTGGGGGAGGCAAACTGCAGAACATCTAGAAGAGTTTTGGTCAGGAGGCTACAAACAACCAGGGCAGGGAAAGTGGGCAAAGTGCATGGATCTCAAGCTGGAAACAGAAGTGATGGGCCTGTTGCTGTGGAGCTGCTGTCGTGACTGGGTCTCTTCGGTGGTAGCGGGATGGGATGGGAGACGGTGCCTGTTGTTCCTTTCCAGATCTGCTCTGCATCCGAGGTGAGTTTCATTGGAACTGGCAACAGCAATGTGGCTTGCCTTCCCCCCTCTCAAAAAAAAAAAAGTCTTGCCGCCAGTGGCATGGGACATAGTCCCTGCACACCTGCCCGCTCCTCAGCCTGTGTCCCTGGATCCTGCCGGGAACAGTTAGCCCGGTCTGTTACGGGATTTCTAGACAAGTCCTTTTGAGGCCTGTACCAGGCAATGTTTACTGCAGCAAAACAGAAAAGCAGCATCTTCAGTGATGTTGGCCTCCCTGATCATGACTTGCATATCCATGAGAAAAGACGTAAACACGCATGCACTCAGCACATAGGGAACTTCTGAGCCCACGGAACTCTGGGAAGGCCTAATCAAACCAGCAGCCTGAATGTTTGTTGTATGCCAGGTTCTCCAGGGAGGTTTGCCAAGGAGACACCAGAACTTCAAAGTAGAGGGCTTTACAATTTAATACTTTTACAATTCAACATGTATTCAACATGTACTGCATAGGCATGTTGATGCAGTGGTAAATCCCACTGTATTCAGAAGACCACCCCACAGACCATTCTTTCCATTGGTTCATAACCTTAGCTCACTTCTGTCCTTGTTCCATTCATTTCAGTATGTAACGGATAATGATAAACTCTGAACACAGTAAGATTGAAAGTGCTTAAGTCAGTCAGGAGTGCGCCCGGTGCACACTATCCACAGGTCAATTTCTTCGTGGCCTTTGCTCAGCCCTTGAAGTTCTGAACCTGTCTCTGGCCTTGCTGCCCTAGTGAATAGACAGGTTTACTTCTGGGTCTTGGTGATCGAGGGTGAGTTGGCCACTGTTGCTGGTGGGAACAGAACCTGGCCTTTTAAAAAGACACTGCAGCAGATGTGGGTACAAACAGGTCATTGTCTTGTTATCACAAATGCCCCTCCGACCAACATTTAAGCCATACAAAAGGTTGCAGGAGCAATACCCTCCCCAAAGCCCAATCATAATGAATTTGTTTGGCGTGAAGCTCATAAAGAAATCAGGTGAAAGGAATATCCTTTTAATAAAGGTAAAAACAACAATACATTTAAAATAACGAACTTTGGAGTACTGTTGAAGCCATGAAGTTCTTCAGATCCCAGTACAAAAACCCTGAAAGGGCCAAAGAATTTCATAGCCATTTCCCCCCCTTCAGTAAAAATATGATGTGACTCCCATAGTTCAGCCCTGCCCCCAGAGCAGCTCATTTTCAAAATGCAGCAGGATGAGCATTCACAAATCTGAGCTGCCAAACAGGGAGCAAGGTTTCCGGAGGAAGATACTTGTTATTTGTCCACACAGCAGCGGAGAGGTAGAGATTTCAGTGATTCAGGTGTTAGGACACGTTAACCTGAAGTCAGCTGATTTTTTTTTTTTACTCTTTACTCACAGTAGTCCTCAAACTTTAGAGATTTAGAGGCATATTTATCTATGTACACCCGTTTCTGAGGAGCCGGCTGGAACCCGAGGCCAGCACCTCCCCGTTGCTTCCAGTCCAGTGCCTTCTCAAATTCAGCCTGCAGGGTCTGCTGCAGCTTCTCCTCTCCATGCCTGGCCAAAGCCATGTTATGTTTTGTCACCTTGGCCGGTGACTCCTGAGTCAAAGCAGGACCTCTCTTAAAACCACCCAAGAGTCTGAGAAACTTTGTTTTCTGCTCTGTGCTGTCAAAGGTTGCCGTGCTCCACTGGCCAAAATGGTGATCCTGAAGAGATTAAAGACAAGATGGGGGTGATTTAGCTGCAGTCCTTAAACCCTGGTTTCCTATTGATAGGGTATGAGCCCTTTGCATAAGACCATCGACAGAGCATCAGATGCCAGGTGGTGAAGAGGTTGCCGGTACGACAAGTAGCGTGTGTATGGATAGTAGGGCTAGTGGTTATGTTTGTGTTCATATGTATTTGTACACTTTGCCTGCATACACATACGACACACACTGAGGGATCCCAGTCATTGGGGGCCCATGGGGTCAGTATAGTTCCAGCCGTGAGCCTGTGCTGCTTTACTTTTCATGGTGAGGGGTCTGGAGACCAAGTCCTATGAGGACAGGTTGAAGGAGCTGGGCATGTTTAGCCTGGCGAGGAGATGACTGAGAGGTGATATGATAACCATCTTCAAGTACTTGAATGGCTGTCATATAGAGGATGGTGCGAAGTTGTTTTCTGTTGGCCCAGAAGGTCGGACCAGAACCAACGGGTTGAAATTCAATCAAAAGAGTTTTCAGCTAAACATTAGGAAGAACTTCCTGACAGTAAGGGGGGTTCCTCAGTGGAACAGGCTCTCTCTGGAGGTGGTGGGCTCTCCTTCTTTGGAAGTCTTTAAGCAGAGGCTAGATGGCCATCTGACAGCAATGCTAATTCTGTGAATTTAGGCAGATCACAAGAGGAAGGACAGGAAGGGTTGCCTCAGTGCTTAGTTATTGTGGCCCTTTCTTACACTCCCAGGGAAATGCTGATTGCCACTTTGGGGCCAGGGAGCAATTTTTCTCCAGGCCAGTTTGGCCAGGAATCCTGGAGGTTTTTTGTCATCTTCTGGGCATGGAACAGGGGTCACTGAGGGTGTGGAGGGGGTATTTGTGAATTTCCTGCATTGTGCATGGGGTTGGACTAGATAACCCTGGAAGTCCCTTCCAACTCTGTGATTCTATAAGAATGAACAACAACTATAAAAGTGCCAGCAAAGGTTCACAAGGGAGTGACAACCATCTCATCCCTACCACCACTGCCCCCTGCTCCATCCTTCCTACACTTCCATTTCCCAGCTCACGCTTTCCCCAAGCTTTCCCCTCGTCCTGCTGTAGAAAATGTAACCATTATTATTTTGCATGCAGACAAAGGGACACTTGGCACAAATTGAGACTTGCTACTCCTAATAAATATGACCAAGTGGATAGTGTCCCAGTTCTGTACAGTGCCTAGTGGGGGCAGAAATAAAAGTGGACACACAAAACTGAGATCAAAGTTGGAAATCTGTCATGTGGGCAGGGGCCGTTGGAGACAGACAACTGCTCCAGTGCCTTAGCACAGCAATATAGAGACTTAACAGAAATGAATGGGCTGGCAGGCAATTTAGGACTCATCTCCCCCATCTCTGTTAAGACCTCGATAGCCCCATTATTCCTTCTGCCAGGGTTCATTTGTCAGGGCCACCTTCCTCCAAGATGCAATTGCTTGCCCCTTATGATAGTTAGTGACATCCAAATTTGTGGGCTGCTGAATCCAGAAAGGGAATTGAAAGCACCCTTCATTTTCTTCATCTCAATTTCTTTGGCCATGTAGTGTGTGTGTGGGGGGGAAGGGGTCATGCTAATTAGAGTCCTGGTGACAGCAATGTCCAAGGGCTATTGTTATTTATATTCCATCGTAAATAGAACACGTTTTCTGCTGCAAACACATCACAGCTTATTCCCTACGGGAATCAAAGGGGGGGGGGGAATGCTACTTTTCAGCATTAATGATGAGAATTACAGCTCACTGCCTCCAGAGTTCACCAGGCTGTTTTCAGCATCTCCAGGGACTGGACTAATTTGTTCTGTAGAATGACCTCCAGTTTCCAATCAGGGGAGAGACTGGCTTGCCAGGCAGCAGACATGACCAGCATAGCAAAATAGCGATAGAAGAGAGCCACATTCTCTGAGCAGATCAAGCTTTCGCAGGAATGGTGCTTACCGATTCGTCCACTTTCTTGATGGGTTTCGTTTTGCCAGATTCCCGGTCAATCTCTTCTTGGAGTGCCTGCCGTCTCAACTAGGGTAGAGAAAAAAAAACTCTTTATGTCCCCTCCCGTGTAAATTGTGGGTAACTGGATAAGAGAGAACAAATTTTGAGTCCAGTAGCACCTTTAAGACTAACAAAGGTTTATTCAAGGTATGAGCTTTTGTGTGCACACTTCCTCAGATTGAAATGAAAGCTAACAGTTCAAACATATAGGCAGATTTGAACTGTTAGCTTCCATTTCAGTGTATCTGAAGAAGTGTGCATGCACACGAAAGCTCATACCTTGAATAAACCTTTGTTGGTCTTAAAGGTGCCACTGGACTCAAAAGTTGTTCTACTACTTCAGGCCAACACAGCTGCCCACTGATTTGGTTCATTAAAATACTGATATACCACCTTAGCAGTGGGCTCCCAAGGGTTTTGTTTTGTTTTTAATTACAAAAAGCATCAAAGAACAGCAATAAAACTACAGCACTAAAATGCAGAGAGCAGCATTAAAACACAAAACAGCCTACGAAGCAGTAGAACTAATGAAAACGCTAGCAGTAATAAAAAAACATCAAGCAGCATATTAAAAGAACTCTGGGCATACCTTTGAAAACTTGCAACCTGAACTCTTCACCCCTTCCAATTTTCAACCGGAAGAATCTGGTTAGATGCTCTGAAGAAGATTTTCCTCTGATCATTCCTGTGGGAGAGGACTATGGCTTGGCCCACAATCTACTTTGCATTTAGAAGTTTCCAGGTTCAATCCCCAACAGCTCCAGTTCAAGGATTTGGAGTAGCAGGTGTTGGGAGACTGAGCTAAGATCAATGGGCTGTAGCTTCATAACAAAAGGAGGCCCTATAAAAAGCACCCTTTCCAGGCAAAAAGTTCCAGGTTTATTCCTTTGGACCTCTAGCTTAAAAGGGTCACAGTTGGAAAGCACTGGGAATTCCTTGAGGTCCTGGAAAGAATGCCTGTCAGAATAGATGAGATCACACACCTGAAATAATGTGGGCGCACCACTTTACACAAAAACATGGTCTCCGTGGGTAAGAAGCATTCAGTTGTCACAAAGAAAATATCCTGCAGGTTGGAAGGCTGTTTTTTTCTTGGCTTAGGGAGCACTGCAGGTAACAGATGCTCTGAAAGTGCCTACATGATGGAAGGGGAATGTAATACACTTTTAGGACAGTCAACATTTTTATTTGAAACCCTTTTGGCGTTTGCTTGAGATTGCAATCCTTCCCCCAGCCTCCAAACTTTGGTTTCATGACTCCTGCTCATTTGAGATGGGTGACCAGTTGCTCCTGGATGTAAGTTCGGAATCCTTATATCAGGACTTTTTTTGGGGGGGGGGGTGTTGTTTTGCTTTCAACAGTTAACTGACAAAATGAGAACAGCCTATCAGCAGGGCTCAGAAACTGGAAGGCAAAATGTGAACACTGGAACTTCTGAACCAGCCTCCTAGGATGCCGCCATACCAAATATTCCCACAGCACTAAAGAAAATGGAGATTGTACCTTGTCTATCTTTACTTCATCACAGTTTCCTTTCTTAATTGCTATGACTTGGATTTCATCTTTGGTTTCCTGTATTAAAGAAGATAGAAGACTTGAGCATTGCTGTGAGAATCTTCACATGCTCAAGCAAAGATAACCTCCCATGCGATGCAAAAAATACAAAAGAATGTTATGAATACTGAGTTCTAGAAAGCTGCATGCGAGTGGTGACATGGCTGAATGGCCTGAATGGATCTTGGTTTGCTCCGAGAGGTTCCGGCAAATCTTCCGGATTATGAACATTTTAGAAATGAGAGGACAGCGGGGTGCACACAAATGGAGGGGGTGGGGATGGGACTCAAAACCAAACACCAAGGAATAAAATAAATTCCAACTACAAATGCATACATGAAAGAGAAGTGTTAATTGTTGAAAAAGATCTAAATAAGACTGAGAAACTTCCATGTGATTCCCCATTACGTTAAACCACTGGGAGGAGAGAGGGAGTAACCAACACACAACAAGAACAATGGGGGAAGGCAAGGGACACTCGTAGAGTTATGGAAGCTGTTGGCAAGTAACTGGGCTTGAGTGAAACAGAACGAAGGAGGATGCCAGGGAAAAAAGACATATGGGGGAAGCTTGAAGAGCCAACTCAAGCATGAAATAACCAGAGAAGGCAGTGATTTGCAGCACATGGGTACAGGCAAAGAGCGATGGGCTTTGCTCCATTTGTTCCTTGTCACACATGTGACATTCCAAGGCAGTTCAGGGCAACTCCTAAACAACTATCTCCAGCCACCTCTGTTGATGTGGGTTTCTTTCAAAGGAAAAAAACAAACAACAAAAATACAAATAAAGTGCTGAAGATGGCCTGCCAAATGCCATGAATGGAGCCAAGACTTATTCTGTTCAGGGAAGCAGACAAGAATGTAAGAAAAGCATGGAAAAGGGTCTCTGTGAATGAAGAATCTTCCTGCTGGAGCAGATCAAAAGTACCATCTTCACTGACCAACTGGACCCAGTAAGATTCCTAGACCTGTATATGTGTGGTTGTTTAGAGATCAGCATCCAAACATGCAATGCTTCCTGCAGGCAAGAACTGGATCAGACCCAAAGGTCCATCTCTAGTCCAATGTTCAGTGGCTGACCAGAAGAAAAGGCCCACAGCCAAGTAGGCCAAAGCCTCCTTCAGCAACAGATTTCCAGAAATGGAGGTCCCATTCAGCCATCATAGCTAAGGGCCAGTGGTGGTGGGTTCCATAAGATAATTATTCATTATGTAAAGGACTTCCCTTTTGCCTGCTCTGTATCAGCTTTACTGGGTGCCCCCAAGTAAGTCTGCTTTCTCCACACCCTGCATAATTTTATAAGGGTCTACTTCAGGATTTCGCAACATGGTGCCCACCACTACTTCCACTGGTGGACATCAAACTTTTCAGAAAGTGTGTGAGGCCACCATAAGGCAGGGCTTGTTATTGGACAACTTCATTCTAAAAATTTTCATGCCTGTCACAGAAGCTGCAGTCGCTGAAGGATCAGGAGGGCTGGTAAGCTTTCCTTAGCCAGTGTGTCATTCCATGCCGTTCCCCCTTCAAGCTTCCCTTCTTCTTATTCCCCTTCCTCTTTCTCCCTCTCCTAGGGGATTGCCTTCATATTTTAAGTGTTCCTTTCTCTATCTCCTTTGGGCTTTCCTTCGTCTCTTTTTATTCCCCTTCAAGTCTTTTGCATAGTGAAGAGAGAGGTATTGTGTTTGGCTCTGCCTCCTGCAGCCGCCGTTTGGGGTTCAGCTCTGCCTCTCGTAGCAGCTGCCATTTTGATGTGGCGCTCACCATCACCTCTCAAAATTCCAAAGATGCTTTTGGCTCAAAAAGACTGGGGGATCCACCCCCTACCACTGTATTTCTAATCTAATTCACAAGTTGAGACAGAACTTGATACATGATCTAGGCCCCGGTCACACGGGGCGGATATTGCGGGGGGAGGGGGGGAGGCGTGCCTGTTTGCTCCAGAGCGAACTACTACGCGGCTGCCGGATCAAACGTCCAGCCGACGTCCCATGGTTCGGGGGGAGGTGCCGATTATACGTCAATCCTGCGGCACGGCAAAGAAGCGGCGCAGCAGGGGTTGTGTTTTAACCAAAGTGTGCGCATGCGCCGTTGGGTGCTTGTGCGCATCCGTGGAGACTTGGGGGAAAAAAACCTTTTCGCAACGGGAAATGGGCAGGCGCCGGATGCCACGAGCTACCACCGGAAACTAGTACCTTGGAGGTACTAGTTTTTTACGGCGCATCTTCGGCGGTAAGCCTCGCATTCGCCATGGGAGCTCTACGCTTCCCAGATGTTGCGGTTTGATCGCACCCGGAAAATCCGCCTATCTTCCGTCTCTGTAGCGTGGCTAATGCTCCGTGTGACCGCAGCCCTAGTCTAGCTAATGCCCAGCTGTTGCTGAAGGCTGCCCTGTGGTGTCTCTTCCTTTCATTCACATCCACACCACCAAACCGGAAATTGGAATGCAACAGTAGATATTGCTTTGGGGAACCCACTTTTTGCAAGGGATTACAGGGTTTAACTCAGCCTTCGCTTCAGGATCATTAATAAGGGAATTGGAACTCCCTTTGGAAGTCAGAAATTCTTACAAAGTGGGCCAAGACCTTTCCTTGCCGGTTTCTGTGGCTTTCTTAAAGCCCCTGCTGTCGAAGCTGCAATGACAGCCAGTCTCAAATCTGGAGGAGATTTCCAGGAAGGCAGGCAGAACCTCAGAAACGGCTACAAACCAAAGAACCAGTTTTCTTTGAGAAATTCAAGTCTTTCAGTGGCTGGACCTTGAAGGACTGGATGCCGACAATTCCAGGGCTTCTCTTTTCAAAGGTGCCCAAAAAACAGGCCTCTTTTGCAATGGGGGGGGGGGACAATGCTGCACAAAGAATGGATACCATGCCTGCATGGAAGCTAGAGAGTGTACTCTAGATCAGGGGATACTGAGCACTTATATGTCACCAAGGGATGAATATCCAGGTGTGAACCAACCTGCATGGTCAGCGTAGCAGATTGCTAGAAAGGGGAGAATCTCAACGACCACGCCCTCTCCCTGCCAAATGTGTGCAGGAGCACCCTTGATTAGCAAATCCTCTACTTCATGGCTTTCTACCATGTACTATCAGTGACTTCGTACTGAGAGCACAGGGGAACATGATGTTCCATGAAGACACACAAAGAAAAAATAAGGGCTTTAAATCGGAAAGTGGGGGTGCAAACTATGGGTGATTTCTCACGAGAGCGCCGTTTGCCTCGACACAAACGTGTCAATTTCACACCTGAAGCTCCGGGGCTGCATTTTGACTCGGGGCTTCCCCCGATTTCCTCCGCAGTTTCGTGATCCTGGTTTTTGAGGATCATGAAACTGCGCTTTGGCCAGGGGGCTGGACCTTTCCCACTGTGCTATTCCAAGAGGAGTTTTCCCTATGAAATTTTACTGAGGATAGGGTTAGTTTGTGTTTGCTACGAGCTGCCTTGGAAGCAATATGTTAAAGGCTAAACTAAATACGCTAAAATAAAATTTAACTGGGAAATGAAGGAGAGACCAGGCTTCCCTTCCCCGGCTTCTCATCTCAGCAGGCGCCTCAGCTTTTTGTTTACCTCTTCATATGAATAATATGATTGACTGCTCACCTCCGCGTGCACGCTTGCAAACGGTTGCCGTAATCTGAAAGGTGGCCAACAGGCAATGCCGATTTAATTAGAAAATTTATCCCTGCAATAAAACCACCCTCTCTTTCAAAAGGTCAAAAGGAAAAACACGTAATAAAAAAAAAAAATTATGACAGCCCCGAGGGCCTAACGGGAGAAATCCCATAATGAATAATGGATACATGTAGACTCTTTTGCAAGTGGCGTGTGCTTTGATTCCCTGCAGCTGACTTAGTGATGGAGACACGGATTTGGGGCCTATGTTTTGTTCTGCTCACTGCTGATTTTCCTGTTCTCGCGGCATACCCCTGAAGGCGGAATACCCCCCCGGTATTCCTGATGGACCCACACCAGCGGAGTTTCAGGGAGCACAGTCACAGGAAGAGGGAGGTGTCCAAGTTCTCTTACGCAAGCACTGCTCAGGATGCAGTTCTCAGGATTAGTCCCACCCTTGCTTTTGGAGCCTACATGCAGCCCAAATGGCTCTAGGGCTGCTGAACTATATTAAGCACAACACTTTCTTCATTCAGGCTGTAGTTCAGAAGCCAAAGTTGTGCCTAGATTCAGGCTACATCGGGTCAAGAGGAATGCAAGTCTGGGGAAAAGCGGAGTTTACAGTATGGGGCTACAAGTTCCAAAGTCCTGCTTCATACGGCAACGTGGGCGGCCCTGGTTGCTTCCATGCCTTGCCTGCTAACTTCTGCCAACGTGGTCACTTACCACACTTGACAGACACACCTTCTAATGGGGTGGTGCTAAAACAGCACATAAGCTGGGCCTGCTTATCCACCTGGCCTGAAACTGCATTTGTTAACTGGGACCACACCGCTGCGGCTAATGCATAAATAACAGCCAGTATGCAGGGCTCATTAGTGTCTCATTCTAGTGGCTTTTCCAATTTTATGATGATCAAAAATACTTTTAATCAATTAATCTAATTCAATTAATCAATTAAGCAGTCCTGGCTATTCTGTCACATGCTCAGACACTTCCTCTGTAAAACATACCTCTGCTTCTATCTTGACCTTTGCCGGCTCTGAACTGGGCTCTTCCTCAGCTCTCTCAGGTCCTTCCCTCTTCCTTGCCTTCTTCTTTGTGGCATCACACTGCTGGACGCTGTTCTCCCAGAAGCGGCTGCTCTCTGACCTCGCTGCTGGGTCTTGCTCCTTCTTGGATTTTTTTGCTTTCTTTTTAGCTTTTTTTATTGCTACCGCAGTTCCCTCCCAGTAGAAAGCATCTTTGTTGCCCTCCATAAGATCTGGGTAATTGTCTGCAACTTTGGTGTACGTATTTTTCTTCTTGTGGCCTTTGCTGTCTCCTTTAGAGTTCTTGATCAGATCTGTTCTCTTTGTTTTTTCTTCAGATTTGGTCTTCCAAAGAGTTTCAGTAGAGACAGCAGGATGGTTTTCCTGGTTACCTGCCCATGTCAAAAGGGAATCAACTTCCTCCTCCTTCGATTTCTTCTTCTTCTTCTTCTTTTTCTTCTTTTTCTTCTTCCCTTCCTGCTCTGTTACTTGCCTTCTCTTTTTCGATGTGTGGGCCGTGTCCTTGTGATGTTGCTTGCAGTTATTTTCTTCTTGCAGCTCATAGGTAGGGTCTGCGGTGCCTTTCTCCAAAACCCCTTTTCTGGTTTCTCGACTGTCCACGGGTGTTAAACAGCGAATATGTTTGCTTTCCCCCTTGCTTACAGCATTCTGGATAAGAGTCAGTTTTCTATCTGACGGCATCATTTCATGAGAAATCATTTCCATTGTGGGGGGCAAGTCTTTTTTGGAATGATCATCTTCAGCATGTGAGCAAGCAAGCTTGTGTTTTTTCTTCTTTCTCTTTGTATCGTATCCATTGTTGCCTTCACAGGTCTCAGGGACACTCCTTTTGCATTTCTTACCAACAAGGAAATTGGCTTTCATACATATTGTTGTTTGGCCTTGGCTTGGAATTTCTGGACTGCTCTCTCGCTCACAGGAAAGTCCTCGTTTTCTCTTTTTCTTTAAAGCCTTACGTGGATTTTCTGCTTCTTTGATTGATCCCAAATCTGAAGTGCTTTGTATAGTAATAGGCAGGTCTACAAATGCTTCATTCTTTAATTTAGAGTCCAGTTTCTTCTTCTTCTTCTTCTTCTTCTTTGGAATTGAACTGTTCTCTTCTACTGAGTGTTTCTTTTTCCCCCTCTTGGCCTTTGTGGGTAGACCAGACTGAACATCATCCTCATCACCACCATCATCTATTATAACAACTAGTGGGTTCCTGGTAGCCTTTTTCATTTTGTTCTTTTTCTGCACAGTTACCTCAGAATTGTACTTCTTAGCATCTGGAAAGCAACGGATAATACAACAGTTGGGGGAAGCATTTGGTGAAAGTGCCCTCCACAAGAACCATCAAAGGCACAAAGGACCCCCTGTGAACGTTGGTTGCCACAAAGATCCATTCTGGACCCTTCCTTCTGGCCTCAAGAAGGATGGGAAAAAGCTTGGCAAACACATTCATCTCCAGGCTTACTCTTAAGAGCAACACTGAAGATTCATCTACCTACTTATCTCTTTTTTTATCAAACTTTTTATTTTTGGATATAACATGTTAAACATTACATCTTTTCTTTTGACAAATATCCTTTTCTCTTTGAAATCTAGTTAAACCAATTAAAGCACAAACAATTCAGCAAGAACTTGCAGGTGACGTATAGGTATACAGCTTAACATCCTTTCCTGGTGGGAAGAAGAAGAAGAAGAGATTGGATTTATACCCCGCCCTTCACTTGGAGTCTCAGAGCGGCTTACAAACTCCTTTCCCTTCCCCTCCCCACAACAGACACCCTGTGAGGTGGGTGGGGCTGAGAGAACTCTGACACAAACTGCTCTTTTCCAAGGACAATTGTGCCAGAGCTTGTGACTGACCCAAGGTCACATCAGCAGGTGCAAGTGGAGGAGTGGGGAATCAAACCCGGTTCTCCCAGATTAGAGTCCGCACACTTAACCACTACACCAAAATTGTTTTTAACATCCCAATTTTTCTCTATATATTCTTTAAAGTCTATCCATTCTTCAAAGAATTCTTCATCTTCCTTGTTGTTCAAGTTTCTTCGTCAATTTGTCCATTTCTGCCATAAAAAGCATTTTCTGTATCCATTCCTCTATTTCTGGTATTCTGTCTTGTTTCCAAGACTGTGCATAGGTCATTCTAGCATACCTACTTATCTCTTTACAGGTTTGCATCCTGCCAAGGAACCCAGGGTGATAACCCAGGATTCACGCCTCTATTTTTTCTACCAAACAAACCCTGTGAGGCAAGGTCCAGGAAGACAATGGGACTAGCACAAGTCACCTGGTGAACTTCACGGATCCCCAGTCTCCTTGGCCTCTCCCTCCTTCAGCCTCTTACAAAATGGCTCCTGCCACAGTGAGCTGAATTTTAGGCTCTGGGTGTGATGGTCTTGTGCGCACACCCCCACCCCCAAGATAGCAATGTATGATGCAAAACTACAGTCTACTTTTGGGGCCCTCTAACTGAATGACTGAGTTGGCGCCTTGGCTATCTGCCCAAAGTCTGTCCATGATGATGTCAGCGATGCCTGTTTCCTGATCTTCTCCCTAATATTTCCTATACTTGTAGGACCCAACGGTCAAGTTGGGTTCTGCCCCTGAGTTGGCCTTTCCTTTCTGCTTTGGTTAGGGAGTATTTCTGGCCTTGAGTCTGAACCATTCCCAGGATGCAATATGCAGAATACAAACTTGTTCAGGCAAAGACGGGCATGGACACAGAAGAAACCTTGGCAGTATTAAAAACAGGGATGGGATGGGGACACAGATGTGAATTTAAGGCTTGTTAAAAATACCCACCCACCCCAAACCTAAGAAATGGTAATGTTGGGTCTAGGCGTCCTCCCGTAGCTGTACAGATGTTTGAAGGAGGAGGAAAGACTGCTTCTCTCGAACAACCTGAGACAATGCAACATGTGCCTGCTTTTGTCAGCTATAATTTTAACTGACTCATTATTTAGAGTTAATGCTGTGCCACTCACAGCAGTAATTGCACCTCTGCAAAGCAGCAGCAGAACCAACATGCCTCTCTCACGACCGGGTAGTGTGCTTACACTTCTAAGCAGAGCCTTCTAAGCAGAGCCGCAACCGACTTATGGCAACCCCATAAGATTTTCAAGAGTCATTCAGAGATGATTTCCATGCTGTCTGCCTCCGCACAGCAAGCTTGGATTTCCTTGGTTGTCTGCCATCCAAACACTGACCAGGGCCAACTCTGCTTAGCTTCCGGGATTTGACAAAATCAGGCTAGCCTATCTAGGTCCAGCTGAGCCTTAGCGTGACATAAATAAATGGAATAAAATAAAATAACACAATTTTATTACATCACCAGTGCCCCCTCCCTCTGAGACAGAGCAAGATGGGTAGCCATATTAGTCTGTCTGTAGCAGTAGAAAGAGTCCAGCAGCACCTTAAAGACTAAAAAAAATTGTGACAGTGGATGAGTTTTCATGAGTCACTGCTCAGGTCTTCAGATACAGCACCCTCCCTCTGCGAACAGGGCAAATTCCAGACAAACCCAATTTCTACCTCAAGTCAGAAAACTCAGGATGTGCTTATTGCACAGTTGGATGGCATCAACAATTAAGGCTTGTCTTCTAGTTTTTGTAGCTCAAATGTGAGCACCATTTTCCTTCTATAAACAGATATGGAAAAGAATGTTTTATGTTTAGTTGGGGAACTAAACATAAAACATTGGGACTGGCCCTAGGACAGTCAATCACACACGTTCTCTTAGCCCAGCCTACCTCACATGATTGTTGGGAGAATAGAATGGGAGAGGGTAGAACCATCAACATCACCCTCAGCACCTTGGAGGAAAGTGGCAGGTGCAATTGCTTTAATGGGGGGGGGGCTTTTATCTTTAACAGGAGATGGAGGACATATCTATAACAGCTGTTAAGCAAGATAGCCAAACTGAACCTCCACTTTCAAAGGCAGTGTACCTCTGAATACCAGTTACTAGTGGACAGACAACAGAGAAATATCAGACCACCCAGTACTGGGAATAGAATGCTGATCCTGCATTCTTTGTCCTGATCCTGCATTCATGTCACTCTTCCTCAGAAAACTCCCACACAAAGACTCATCCTCCACTTCCATAAGACCCTCGATTCCTTTTGGCCTGATCCTGCATTCATGTCACTCTTCCTCAGAAAACTCCCACACAAAGACTCATCCTCCACTTCCGTAAGACCCTCGATTCCTTTGTCATCCCTTCTATCTTTCCCCAAAGATAATCAGAACTTCAAATGATGGTGCTGTGATATATTTGGAGTGACTGTTTAAACTGTGCCTATTCTTTTTAAAAACTGTCCCACATAGCTGAGCGGGTGTGGAAACAGACATGTATGTATGCACCCGTATCTATACACATGTATATATACACGCATAAACATAGTATCTCTATACATTGTGTATATTTACATTAACAAATATATTTACATATACACATAAGTTGCACATTTGAATATTGTTCGCATATACACATACACACTATGTATGCACTATATATACACACATCTGTATTTATTATTTGCATACACACTGGCCACAGTTACATTCACATTTTATATATGAACAACCCCATCCCTCCTTCACCTATTCTGCTATGGTCTCACCCTGCAGGTGTTCCCTTGACCTGTCTCACTGCCCCCTTTTAACCGCCAGTTCTGTGAAGTAATAATGAAAGCCAATGGTGCCACTGAGCACATGCAGAGTGCCCTTCTCCTATGGTTGCCAGCCTCTAGGTGGGGGCTGGAGAGCTCCTGGAGTCACAAGTGATGAAGAGAAGAGATTGGATTTATTCACTACCCGATTCACTACCCGAAGAAGTCTCAGAGCGGCTTACAATCTCCTTTCCCCTCCCCACAACAGGCACCCTGTGAGGTAGGTGGGGCTGAGAGAGCTCTTTCCAGAACTAGATGTAGCACAAATGGATAATTTGAGCCTGATGTCACAAAATAAAAATGACAAAGTATTTAACACAAGATGGGCTAAGGTGTATGAATGGGTGAGGAGGATAAATGTATGAGACTGCAATATATGTTAACATTAGGTTGGAGTGAAATTCACGTAAATCGAAGCTAATATCTGTAAACTGTGTCTATGGATTGTAACTATGTAAAAATCAATTAAAATATTTTAAAAAGAGAGAGAGAGAGAGAGAGAGAACTGGTCCTGAGAGAACAGCTCTGAAAGAACTTGTGACCGACCCGAGGTCGCACCAGCAGCTGCACGTGGAGGAGCGGGGGATCAAACCCGGTTCTCCCATATCAGAGTCCGCGCTCTTAACCACGACACTAAACTGGCCCTAGACTACAGAGTTCAGCACCCCTGGTGAAAATGGCTGCTTTGGATGGTGGATTTTATGGCATTGTCCCTCCGTCCCCCAAATCCTCTGGAATGTCTCAACCCAGAGTCGGCAGGCCTACCTATGCACGGACCTATGCGGGTGCGCTGAGACGGAGGCTCCCCTCGCAAAGAGCCACCCGCCCTCCCGCCCTCCCTTCGCTCACCCCAGCAGCTCCCCGCGGCCCTCCTCCCGGCTCCTGCTCACTCTCCCTCGAGCTCCGGCCGAAGAAAAGGGAAGGGGCGGTCAAGGACCCCCGGCGCCCTCTTTCGCTTAACCCGGAAAGGAAAGGCGCCGCGGCCTAGCCGGAAAACGCGCCGGCCGGCCTGTGTTTGGGGGTTGCCCAGCAACCGCTCCCGCCGCGGCCCGGCATGGCGGCGGCGGCGGCTGCTGCTGCTGCTGTGGGTGAGGAGTCTCGGCCGGCGCTCAGCCTCTGGGAGCAGATCTGTGCAGGTGGGCGCCAGAGCCTCTCCGCCCTCCTCACCTGCTGCTTCTCCCCATCTCCTTTCTCGCTTCTCGGGTCTTCACCTTTCAGTCCAGGTTGTCGGAGGGCGTTAAAGGGGCTTCCTCCTCCCCCTCCTCCTCCCCGACAGGTATTTTGTGGCTTGAGGGAGCAAGCTTAAATGCGACTCCTCTCAAGGCCCGTCGTGTTCAGGGAGGCTTCCCTCAGGAAAGGTTTCCGAGGCTTGCGGCCTGAGTGGCTGCAGGAACGCGCCCGGGGAAGGCGCGAGACGCCACAGCTGCCCCCCCCCCCCCCCCCCCCCCCCCCCCCCCCCAAACCCCCCCCCAGGTGATTGCCAGCTGCAGATTTGTTACTTCGTTTCGCTCCCTAAGGCAACAAACTCACTTTAGCTGACGCTGACAAAGGGGATTTTAAAAAAAAAACTTTTTAAAGGTCTTTGCAACTATTTAACAGTACATAAACACTGAGGCCTAGAACAACAACAACAAAAACCCCAAACAACTGGGAATATTTGGGAGGAAGTCCCTCCTCCTTTTCCCTCGGGAATTTAAAAAAAGGTTCTGACAAAAATGGAAGGAGCACTGAAAAAAAACACTATGAAATTCTCTCACTGAAGTGCAATGCTTTTTAAGGCAAGGCTTTTACTCATTCAGAATGTGTAGTGTGAGAGTTTTCACTTAAGTAGATTTCCAGGACTGGGTAATGATAATTCCTGTTATACTGCACTAGCAAAAATAGTTGCCCTTAAAAATATTGTATAAATGAGACCAATTTAATTTACAATTAATAAACTTATAATGTGTTTAACAATACACTAATTGACAAGTTTGATGTTTTCAGTGCTATGAAGTTTACTTCAGTATCCAGAGATGCTGCTAGCCCAGTTATGAGTCCATGACACTGTTTCTGCCCCAGTAACACACTTTGGTGTAGTGGTTAAGTGTGCAGACTCTAATCTGGGAGAACCGGGTTTGATTCCCCACTCCTCCACTTGCAGCTGCTTGATGACCTTGGGCAAGCCATAGTTTTGTCAGAGCTGTCCTTGAAAAGAGCAGTTTCTGTCAGAGTTCTCTCAGCCCCACCTGCCTCACAGGGTGTCTGTTGTGGGGAGGGGAAGGGAAAGGAGTTTGTCAACCGCTCTGGGACTCCAAGTGAAGGGCGGGATATAAATCCAATCTCTTCTTCTACTACTACTACAAAATGTGTTGCTTTGTATTTTTAAAGTTTTTAATTTATGACAAAATATTTGTTTGTTTCATTTATACCCCAACTTTCCCTTCAGTGGGTATCAAAAGTAGCTTATGGCATTCTCCTCTCCTCCATTTTATCCTCTCAACAACTCTGTGAAGTATGTTAGGTGGAGAGTGTGTGACTGGTCCATGGTCGCCCAGCAAGTTTTCATGGGAGAGTGGGGATTCAAACCTGGGTCTCACAGATCCTGGTCAGGCGCTCTATACTTACAGATGCTCAGATAGCAGTTCTTTCAGGATTTTGAAGCTCTCTTTTCTATACTGGATTTGTTTGCACTTCTGCTTGTATTTTGAATGTCATAAATATGCCAACTAGACCAATTCTATATGCTAACAGTGCACGCTTATGCAGTTACCGTAATCTAAACCTACTGATTTCAGTGGCATAACTCTGCAGAGGATTGCACTGTTATGTTACAGCAGTAAAATATGTTGTTGTTTTTAATTTAAAGAAAGTAAGTATTGGATTCAGTTGCTTTTCCCAATATTGCAATTTGTTTTCTGGGGGTGGGGGAAACAGGGGGGAAATCCTTATGGGTTTTAACTTCAGCAAATGTTATATCTCTGATTATGGAGCAACGTATGTATTTCCTGGACATTATGTACTTTATAGAGGCAAACTTAAATTTGCCATTGAGTCTCCCAGAGCCTCCTTTCCCAACTCACCCTGTTCCTCCTGCCCCCCTTTCTGGCCTTGTGACCCACCTCCAAGAGAGCCTTAACCAACAGCAGTGTCCTGGCTCTTGCTCTGAGAACTGCTGACTTAATACATTGCAAAGATGGGCTAGTCTCATAATTCTGGAGGGGTAACTGTTTTGTTCTGTTGCAGCCAAAGTGAATGGGAATCTGGTGGCAACAAACATTTTTATTCTAGTGTTAGTTTTTGTGGATCATTATGCCATCATGGTATCAGTGATCAGAATGTTGGTCTAGGATCTGGGTGACTGGCATTCAGACCCTTGCTCTTGTCATGACACTCTCTTGGTGACTTTCAGTCTAAGCCAGAAGCGTCGAATTCATTTGTTACAGGGACCAGATCTGCCATAAATTCTACTTTGTCAGGACAGGCCATGTGTGGCATAAAATATAATGTCAGGTACCGAAGATATAAACTTTATAAAGGACACAGGCAAACCCAATTAATGATAGAACAAAGTTTGAGTTCAGTGGCACCTTTAGGACCAACAAAGTTTAATTCTAGGTATACGTTTTTGTTTGCATGCACACTTCATCAGATATGAAAGCTTATACCCAGAATTAAATTTGTTGGTCTTGAACTCAAACTTTTTCTGTTGCTTCAGACCAACATGGCTACCCACCTGAACTAATTAACAATATTATTTTTACTCAAAATACAACCAAAAGCAATTGATTCCTCGGAGTGAAAGCAATTGATTTACTGGGGAACACACAGAAGCCCCAGTAAATGTATTTAATCATATGCAAGACTAGTTTTTTCCCCAAGGGATACCATAAAAGGGGTGATATCTTACATTTCTGTACAAATTAGTTACCTTTTTGTATATATAGCACTTTTAGGAGATGAGTCATCATCCTTGCAAGTAAATACAGTAGTTTTTCAGCACACACACCCCATACGCTCAGCCTCAGCAGCTGAGCACGGCTATGATTTGTCCCTCACTTTGGTTCCTCACTTCCCCCATCCTGCCTCTGAGGATCTTGAGGAAGCACACAGGACTTCCTCCTCCACTGCCCCATCCCCACCACTGTGAGGTGGTCCAGGCTGAGTAACTGGCCCTGGGTGACCTGGACGACAGGGTCCTCACTCGGGGGGTGGGGATCTGAATCTGGCTCTCCCAGATCCTCCTACGCTCAGTTCTTATCCCTCCTGCATTTATCACAAAAGCGGCGGGGATGAGGGGAAGGCCTGATGGAGAGGCTGTTTCCAAAACCTCCAAGAGGTACTTTTTGTCCTCCCGCAACACCTTTTCCCTCATGGGCTGAGAAGGGGGGGGGGGTCATGGCACGCATAAGACAGCCCAGTTGCCTCCGAATTCACACACTTGCCCTCCTCAACTTCCCCCTGCTGGTCCAGTCCCTTTGTTGGCACATCGCTGCTCTGCACTCCTGCTCTTCCCAACTGGTCTTCCCAACTGCCTTTGGCAGTGCCAGCCACTCAGCTCCCCCCCCCCCCCCATGTGGGTTTGCCAATCCTCACTGAGCTGTGGTCAGAGGAGAAAAAACATAATACTGCCTCTTTCTGCGCCTTTGCCTCCATCTCCCCACACTATTTTACCTCAGCCTCGTAGCCCTGTCTTCTAGCGATTTCATTTCTATTTCTGGACAGCTTTGACCATACACACCTCACCGCATGTGCCCGCTCATACCCCCACCCCAAGCAGCCTCCTGCCTTCATTGCACAAGTTGCTCATGGGCCGGATAAGAGCCCTGGTTCCGTAGTGCCCGGCAAGTAGCAGTTCCACAATACTATTCATGTCATGAAAGAGCTGAATTGCTACTCTCCTCATGCCCTAATCCTAAACCAAACTGGGATCTGTTCACATGCTGTTTTCAAAGAAAGCCCATGTGGGAGTGATGAATATGGAATGCCCAGCTATTTATTTTTTTTTAATGAAATTTGGAAATCCGGGCCAGCTAATGGCCCAGAGGATACAGGATGGAATGCCAGCTAATGGCCCCGAGGATACAGGATGGAATGCCCAGTTTCATCTATATGAAATTGTATATTTCCTTTTTGTTTCAGTTGTTCCCAGGGGCACCCCAGGCAGAAGCAGACTTGCATTGGGTTTGGGCAGCTAGAAGGAGAGCATCCAATTTGTTACACACCAAATTAAGTGATAATATCATTGCCTCCGTTTTTATGAGGCACTAATCCAATTCCCACATGAATCCAGCGTAGTGAATTCTCATGGTGAGGAAATTAGATTATTGTCGCATAAAGCAGTAAAAGATCAGATATTATGGTTATTATTGTAATGTGAGTTTAATTAATAAGGCAACACACACACCCCAGTATACTTCCTGTGTTTTCATTCCTAAGCAAGGAAGGCTTAAAGAGCCCCCACATCAGTTACATTCCTCAAACTAGGCTATCTTTTGGGTTCCTGTTTTGTGTGAGGAAAGTTCTGTAAGGGAAATAAGCCTTGGCAGCAGTTGTCCTGAGGTTTTGGAGATGAGTTGCCCCAGGAAATTCATAGTTCTCCTATGTGTCTGCTTTTAGAGGAGGTGTTAGATACACATACTCTGTCTGGCTTTTGATTTGATTTGATAGGAAAAGATCTTAGTTTTATTGTAGGATGCTGTATTTGCTGTATTTGATCCTAGTGGTGGTGGAAAGAATAAAGGGACCCCAAACCAGGATCCCTTGGAAGGGGGCAGGTCAGTCCAAACAGGCTGAAGTGTGAGTCCTCACACACCAGAGCAGTGCCACCAGCAGCACCTTTCCACTAGCCAGACAGCCAGAGGACAAGGGACGAAGCCTCCATCCCTCTCAGGACTGAGATCAAGAAAGTCACCCTTGTAAGGCAGGACATTTACAAGGTGAGTTTCACAAAACAATCAGGTAGCTGTAGCCAATGAGGGCTCCTGAACTCAAGAACTCCACAAAATATAAGTACATCAATTTATTGTGCAGAAATAGTCAATAAAAGAGTAGTGAGCAGTGAGGATAAAAAAATAACCAAGCTGTAATTCTAAACTAGGCATATTTACAAACGTTGGTTCAGGATCCAGGTGTTACCAAGAAGACTGAGTCCAATAGGGTTCCAAAGTCCAAGACAAGCTTTCTGGTCAGTAAGACTCCCACAAAACAAGAAATGTCCTAAAGTCAGATATATTCCAGACACAGGGCAAAACTGGAACAAAAGATCTTTTCTATATGCTCAATGGCCTGTGTTGGCCTGATTCTAGTTAACCCATCAGCTATGCAGCAAATGATGTCACTTGACCAATCAGATCTGTTGCTAACCTATCAGGTGGATTTGACAGTTAGCCCAAATGTTGTTAGGTGTTTTAGGCTCAACTGAACAAAACCTCCTGCCACCCATGAGCTCAGGTGCTAACGAGATGGATTGTATCCTCCCAGATTCTCGTGTCCTTGAAGCTACCACGCCTAGTGGTGTGTGTCTGGCTGGCACCAGAGCTACCTCCCATCTCCCTTATCTGAGTCTTTGAAGCTACAAGCAGTTTGTATTATATTTTAGAGAAAGAAAGTTCCATATTTTCTAGGCCTCAGCCTGAATCATTGTTTGAATTGAACAAGAAACTGCTTAAAGGAGCCAGCTTCTTGGCAGAAAATGCTGTTGTCAGAGCCAACTTATGATGACCCCAAAGGGTTTTCAAGGCAAGAGACTAAGTGAGGTGGTTTGCCATTGCCTTCCTCAGCATAGTGACCCTGGAACGCCATCCAAATACTAACCAGGGTTAACCCTGCTTAGCTTCCAAGATCTGATGAGATCATTCTAGACTGGGCTATCCAGGTCAGGGTAATATTTGATCATGCTATTTATTTGATTGTCATAATATTGCTTTTATCACTGTTTTTGTTTGGGGGAGGATATTATCCGGTATTTGTAAACTGCCTTTAGTTTGGAGAAAGTGACCAGGAGATGTCTAAATCAATCAATCCTAGCCTGTCCCCAGCATCTGCAGTGGCCTTTGGAGTTATTTGGGAAGCTCTTGTTCCGTGGTTTGAAAGACGATTAATCTACCAGCATTTTACAAAGTGCTGTTTTCCCATGTCAAAACTATTTTTGAGGCAGGTTGCTTCACAAAACTGGCTCTGCAAAGAGCTCTTTGGGAGTTGCTGGGGTCTTACACAGACTGAATGGAAGGGTTGACTTTTTTTAACATCAGATTTCTGTCCATGCCATCAGTGAAGATTGCTGCATTCCAGTTACCCAAGACTAGGCAATTTGCATATTTGTGCTGATTGCTAATACATCAAGTGTGTGGCTTTCCAGTTGTTTTGTGTGTGTTCCTCGCAGATATCACCAAAAGTCAGGGAAAGGTCAGAGGAAGCATAGTTTGACCTGACTCATACTTAGATCTTCTTATGATTTTTTTCTAAAATGACAACAAAGACTTTAAGGAGAGTTGCATAGAAACATAGAGCTGGAAGGGGTCCCAAGGGCGAGGATCCCTTCTGGCACCCCGTTTTATTATCTGCATGTCAGGTGGTTTCAGGAAGCCTGGCCCTTTAGGAAAAACACTGGTTATTATCAGAGGGATTATTATGAACTGAGATCGAGGCAGCTCTTAAACAAAGTGATTTCATTTTATTCAGCTCATAACAACACTAGACGAAACTACATAGAAGAAGGCTGACTTATATACGATTTGAACGGGCAAAACTACACCCAACAAACAGATAACAACCAATAGGAATAGGGTTGCCAAATGTACTCACCCCTCGGAGCGGGGGAGCCTCGCCGGGCTCCGGGCTCACGTTGGGGGCGTGGCCCAGATCGTCCGGGGGGGGACATATGGTTTCCCCCCCGATGATCTGGGCCATGCCCCCAATGTGAGTGACGTGGCTGCGTCACCTCTGGTGACGTCACCTCTGGTGACGCAGCTTCGGGGGCGGAGTTCCCCCCAGGGCCCAATTCCACCGCCGCGGAAATCGGGCCTCCAAAGCGGGGGATTACCCGCCCCCCGGGCCCATTTGGCAACCCTAAATAGGAACACGGAGCTTGAACCAATGACAGTGGTTCCCACTAAAACCAAGGCTTCTCTGATTGGCCCTTTAGTTCAATCCTTGCAATGCTATATAGAACTGTGCATAAGCTCACTGATGTCTTTATTACATTAAGACATAACGGGGATGCAGGGCCAAATTATGAGTTACAAGGAAAGCACAGGGTTTCTAACTATACTTTTGAGGGGTGAGAGATCCGGGATCAGGAAAGGGGTACTTCCCCTCCTTGGCAATTATTCCACCACAAATTCCGTGCTCATGCATTCCCACATCGCACATCGTTCACTGTGGCATTTGCTCAGCTGCCTCTGAGACCAGAAATAAGCCAAGCTAGAAGGGAAAGAACCTGGAGGGAGGAGTTACTGGAGGAATGCGTGCAAATGTCCCCACCCTGCCCCTGCATCATTGTTAATCAGTAACAGTGAATTTAGTTTATCTCGTTTTTATCCCTCCTTCCTTCCAAGTAATTCAGGGTGGCTAACATACCTTTCTTCTCTTTCCTTTTATTCTGACAACAACTCAGTGAGGAAGGTTAAACTGAGAAAGAATGACTGGCCCAAGATCACCCAGTGAGATTTTCATGGCATGTGGGAATATGATTTCAGGTCTTCCCCAGCTTAGACCAACACCAGCCTAGACCAACAGCCCAGACCCTACACCACTTGCTGTATTTGTGTGGAGTCCACGTTGCTTTAACATTTAGTTCTCCTCTTGGAAACTCTCAAGCCAACTGAACTATCAGGCCAAATTTGCTCAGCTCCTTTCTGGTTATAATTTTTGAATGGTGAAGGAAGCTTTACCCTGTTTCTCTAAGATGGGGATTCTGAACTCCTAAATGTAATTTACTGTTAAATAGGTTCTTGGCATTCATGGGCATACCCATTCGGTAACCCCAAGCAGTGTCTCCATACAGGGGTCTTGTTGTAGAAAAAGAGCTGCCGGAGCTCATTAGCATAACTCATTAGCATAACTTATTTGCATATGCCACGCCCCCTGACATCACCGGAAGTGACAGAAGGCCACACCCCCTGACATCACCGGAAGTGTGTCAGAAGGCCCGGCTACTTACCCTCCTGCTTCATCCTCATTCCCAAACGGAATGAGGATCGAAGCAGAGGGCGGGGTAAAGAAGGGGGCGGGGCTTCACCACGTGACCGCCCCGCCCCCTAGAGGTTCTCTTCCGGAGCTCCGTACCTGAGAGCTCCCCCCCGACTAGAGCCCTGTCTCCATATGTTTTCAGAGAAAGAGGTATTCAGACCTCCAAAATAATCAATAAATATCTGATGGTTTCCCCCCCCCCTCTTTTTCCCAAACCCCTCTTTTTTCCAAAGACTATGAAGCAGAGCAACCTCAGCATCCTGACAATATTAAACAAAAAGAGGAGCCCGTGCTTGTCATTCAGGTAAAAATAACCCACATGGGAAAACCTTTTACCCCTTTTGTTAAAGTGGTAGCATAAAATTTCTATCATGTATTCTCAAATAGGTGTCAAGACAGTGCTGCTCATAATGCACAAATGTTTTGCAGCATATGTCAAATATTCCATGTATTGCAAATCTCCCAGAAAGGCTAGGTGTCTGAGGACTACAACTAAATGTGGTACAGGAGTTCCTTGATTAAAAACTCCGGTTTGGCCCTAAAAGCAACCCTGTGTGTGTGTTTATATATACTTGCATGCACAATCTGGATTGGTACTACACTGTAGGCAGAGGGGTTAAGTCTTTCTTCCCAGCATTCTTTCCCCATCTGGAAGCACACTGCACGTGTGCACACACACACCCCAGCTGTTTTAAGCCCCAGTAGACAATAAAGACAGGGACATATGCCAGTATGTATTTCCTGCCAGAGTACAGAGCACCTGCATGGGCCATTCTTCATTATGGAAATAGCTTGGGGTGGGTGGGCCAAGAGTTAACTCTCCTCTTTCCCAGTATTGCACATCTGATCTAGACAAGGCTCCCTGCAGCTGCTTTCCAGTGCCAAATTGCCCTTGTGGAGTTCCCTTCCTTCCTTCTTAATATTAAAAAGTAAGCTGTGTTTTGTTCTGTCCCTGTTCAACCTGTCAGCTCCATTTTGTATGAACTGGCACATTATTGAAATATACAGCTCTTACCTGTTGTATTCATGCATATTTCAGCACCCCTGCTTGATCAAAAGGATGAATACAGACAGGCAGAGCAGGAGGAGGAGACCTAGTTGTTGTTGGTTTCTTTTTTAAACATGGGTTATTTTCACCTGTTGTCACAAATGCAAGAAGAGCCCATAAATTCTTGTACAGTGGAATCACAAATCCAGAAGACTCTCAGGCCATTTCAAGCTTCTGTTGCCTGTGAAAACGTCATGCAGCAAAAACAGCGAGTTCTACACTGATTCAATGATCTGTGATGGTTTTGGAAGTTTTCTCTAATGCACAAACAAAGGCTCCTCTGCTATTCTGCCATTTGTGTCTTCAAGCCAGTTTATAAATATGTTTCAGCAGTGTTGTTTTCAGTCACAAAAAACAACAGGCCTCCATTGATAGATAATCTCTCTTGAAAGAAACTACCAGGCACTTGCACTATGTACATTTATTCATTTATCTGTCATTGTTCTACTTTCCTTGAGTCACTTTTCAAAGTCCCCAAAGGATCCACTGAATAAAATAATAAGGTCGAAGAAAGGTAGCTGTTTCAGTAAGTCAGTTCTTGGAGCTGCAGTGGCTCAAGTGGTTAAGACGCTGAACTGCAGGCTGTGGAAGGTCGGTAGTTCAGCAGTTCGAGACCCGAGTGTGCTGCATGACGGAGTGAGCTCCCATCTCTAGTTCCAGCTCCTGCCAACCTAGCAGTTCAAAAGCGAGAAATTGCAAGTAGATAAATAGGTCCCACTTCAGTGGGAAGGTAACAGAGTTCCATGCGCCTTGGTGTTTAGTCATGCTGGCCACATGACCACGGAAACGTCTTCGGACAGCGCTGGCTCTTCGGCTTTGAAACAGAGATGAGCACCGCAACCCTAGAGTCGGATTCGACTGGCTTTCGAGCAAGGGAACCTTTACCTTTACCTTTAAGTCAGTTCTTGACTTTTATAGAACAATCACAATGATTTTAGGAGTGAGAATAATAAGAAATGGTTTCTGTAGTCTTCTACATTTTTGTGACCCTTAGAATACTTGCTAAGCAACTAGGGCTACATATTGAGGCTTTAGATTGTCTTGCTGCCTCCTCCCTCCCCCCCAAAGAAGCCTGGGTGTTGATGTTGTTCACCTTGATTTTGCACAGGCTCCTCTGGATGATAGAGCTCTGATACCTCTTGGTGCAGATGAAGGTGAATTGGCACTGACTGAGGAAGGGGTTCCTTCAAAGCCCCCTTCTCCCCTTGTGCTACCGCTATCACCCAAACTACCCTGTCTGAAAACATGTAAGTAAGAATATATACAGCACTCTTTAATTAGCATATCACATTTCAAGAAGCAATAGAAATTAAACCCATTGTCCACATCTGCTGCAAAGGTTATCCGTAACTTTGCTGAGCTACCAGCACCATCTGTACTTCATATTTGAATGTTTAGGGCACGGACCAGCAGTGGCACACTTTTATGGACCCCCTTTCCCCTGCGAGGTAGCCTAAGCATGTTTGCATAGGTTATGATGAACAGGCATGTCTAAATGTACAGGTTGTTGTTTATTTGTTTGTTTTGTTTTCCTTTTTAAATATCACGTTGTTAATATTACATTTAATATTACCCTGCCCTTTTGAGACAGGAGAGGGATGTGGTGGTGAAAAGTGTTGTCTAGTCACAGCTGACTTATGGCGACCCTGTTAAGGTTTTCCAGGCAAGAGACATTCACAGGTGGTTTCCCATTGCCTGCCTCTGAGTCATGACCCTGGCTTTCCTTGGTGGTCTCCCATCCAAATACTATCCTGGGACCACCCTGCTTAGCTTCCAAGATCTGACAAGATCGGGCTAGTGGGGGCTATCCAGGTCAGGAGGAAAGGGATTTATGAGCTCAAGTAAATAATTAAGCCCAAAGATCTATATGTTTTGTGTACCAAATCAGCTTAAATTGGGAAATGCGCATGTCCAGCATTGATCTTACTTTTACAGCAAACAAAAATAGTTTGTTCATTTGTTGCCCAGGTTCTCCAAGAGAATTCTTAGAACACTTTATATTTCCAGTGCTTCTCCCAGGGATGACAGAACTGTTGCATCAGGCTAAGAAGGAAAAATGTTTTGAGGTCAGTTATTAGTTTTTAGCTGTTGTGTCTGAAATAATCTTCAACTCGGCAATTCTCTTTCAGGAAAATGGACAAAAAATATTTTTATATGTTATGCTAAACCAGAGCTCGTGCATTTACTCTGAAACCATCTGCTCCAAAGTGTACATTTTATATAATTAGAGCAGAGTTGTCCTTAGGGGGTTAGGGCACCCAGGACGCATCAGCCTGTATGGCTCCTCCCTTGGAATGCTTCCTGTGTGCTCACTAGGTTTACACACTCCCCATTCTAATGCCCCTCTGCCTCTTGGAAAAGGGGTCCCCTTGTCTGTCATGGAACCCCACTGTGCCCTTAATTGCTAGGACTGGTGGCTGGCCCCATTTTCATTCTTCTCTTGGCTCCTTACTTCTTCTTTCCAACTCAGCCCTATTGTCTCCTCGTCCTCTGCTGCAGCCTCCTCACTCACCTTTGTTTCCCAAGCTGTCTGTCTGTCACTTCCTCCTGTTTCCAGATTCCCTTCTGGTTTTATCCCTGACCCTTCCCTATCCAACACCTGTCAGTGGTGTCATACTCCCAGTGAATGGAGCCTTCAAAGGGAGGGATGTCCCTGAGTAATAGACCAAGGGATGGCCAATGTTTTTAATTATTATGTTATTTATTTAGAAAGTTTATATGTTGCCTCTCTGGAGACCTGCTCGAGACAGTTTACAATTAAAATAATAAAGCCATTGAAACACAGCATTTAAAAATAAAGCAAGGCCATTGAAAACAAGCTCAGCTATTTGAATAGGCCAGGGCATAAACAAAGGATAATATGACGTGCACATCCAGCCTATATAACTCATCACTCTGGGCGATTTACAATAACATTAAAAAGCAGTGACCAGATAAAACAATAAGTCATATTAGAGTACATTTTAAAAGACAGATGGTGAATACTAGTACTTATTAACTAGTTGTTCCCATATTACAGACTGTTGGTCGCTTCGTGGGCAGGGGGGAAGAGGTCGAGACAAGCATAGAAATTTGAGGAGGGTTCCATCCGAGATGAAAGCCGTCACTGTCCTCAACCAAAAACCTGGTGGAAGATCTCTGCCTTGCAGGCCCTGCGGCATTGCATAAGGTCCTGATGGTATTTGGCAGAGAGTTCCACCAGGTTGGGGCCAGGACTGAAAAGGCCCTGGCCCTGGTTTAGGACAGCCGGATATCCTTAGTGCTGGGGACCACCTGCATGTTGTTGTCCAAAGAGTGCAATGCCCTTCCGGGGATATAACAGAGGAGACGGTCCCTGACCACTCAAGACCTTATGGGTCAAAACCCAAACCTTGAACTTGACTCAATATTCCACTGGGAGCCAGTGCAGCTGGCTCAGCACTGGATGTATATGTGCCATCTGTGACGTTCCCGTCAGGACTTGCACCGCCAGATTCTGGATCAGTGGGATCTTCTGGGTCAGTCTCAAGGGCAGGCCAGCATAAAGCAAGTTACAGTAGTCTAGCCTGGAGGTGACCATTGCATGGATTACCGTGGCTAGATCAGAGCGCAACAGGAAGGGGGACAGTTGCTGAGCCTGACACAGATGGAAGAATGCCAGTTTGGCAGTGTGCATGACCTGGGCCTCCATATTCAAGGAGGTATCCAAGTTCACTCCCAAGCTTTTCACAGATTGCACTGATGTTAGTGGCCAGAAGAAGACCATAAGACCATAAAAAGAGATGAAAACCCCTTAGTTAAAGGGCTGGGCAAAACCCAGTGTTTTATCTTGGTGCCTAAAGGAAAGTAAGGTAGGTATCAGGTGAGCCTCACATGGGAGGGCATTCCAAAGGTGACAAAAGCCCTGTCTCAGGTTGCCACCCACCTCACTCTAGCGGCCGAGGCGTGGAGAGAGGATCTTAACTAGCAGGCTGGACAATGTGGGTGGAGGCAGGTGGAGAGCCACCCCATCATGATTAGATTTTGAGTTTCTCGGAGATGTTTGGTGAGCCAGTGTTGGAAACAGAACACTGGAGAGCTAGCACAGCATAGTAGTTAGTGTACTGGGTTAGGACCATGAAGATCCAACTTTAAATCTCCACTTGGTCAAGAAGTATTCTGGTTCACCTTCAGCCAATCGCTCTCTGTCTGCCTAACCTACTACATAGGGTTGTTATTGCTGGGTTAAATGTAAAAAAATCAATTGCCTTGGAAACAAAGACACTTTATGTAGTATCCCTTATCCTCCAGGTTTCCTGGTTAAGGGGGAAATGCTCAGGGTGGCTTACAACGTAAGATTCATAAGACAGTAAAACCAATAAAACAATGGATGGCACAATAAATAATAATGAAAAAGAATCCACACCTCATGTCAGGTGAATAAGAAGCTCCAGTGCCCAAGTAATGTTCTCTAAAGCAGCAGGGCCCTGGGAAGGGGAGGCCAGAATAGTTGAATGTCCACCGCCTCACCCGAGAGCCCGGCAAAACAGCTCCACTTTACAGGCCCTGCAGAACTGCAATAGGTCCCGCAGGGCCCTGTTCTCGGGTGGGAGCCTGTTCCACCAGGTTGAGGCAAGGGCGGAAGAGCCCGTTCCCTGGTTGAGGCTAAGCGGATGGCCCTTGGGCCGGAGATCACCAGGAGGTGCTTAAAGCTCTCCAGGGCTCATAGGGGGAGAGGCTGTCCTGCAGATAGGATGGCCCCAGGCCACGTAAGGCTTTGAAGGTCAAAACCATAACCTTGAACCAGATCCGGTATTCGACAGGCAGCTAGTACAGTTGATGCAACACTGGCTGAATGTGTGCCCGCAAAGGTGTCGCCATCAGTAAGTGTCAGTAAGTCCCTTCCCTTCCTCTCCCCACAACAAACACCCTGTGAGGTAGGTGGGGCTGAGTGAGCTCTGAGAGAACTGCTCTTGAGAGAACAGCTCTGAGAGAACTGTCACTGACCCAAGGTCACACCAGCAGCTGCATGTGGAGGAGCGAGGAATTAAACCCGATTCTCCCACCGCTCTTAACCACTACACCAAACAGGCTCTCTGGCTCATCTTATATGACATATTCATGTAGCCAGATAATGAAACTGAAGCTCAAATACTTTGGCCACCCAATGAGAAGGGAGCACTCACTGGAGAAGACCCTGATGCTGGGAAAGATTGAAGGTCAAAGAAGACGGGGACGGTAAAGGGTGAGATGGTTAGACAGTGTCATAAATGCAACGAACATGAAATTGAGCAAACTTCAGAGGATGGCGGAAGGCAGGAAGGCCTGGCGTGATCTGGTCCATGGGGTCGTGAAGAGTCGGACTCGACTGTGCGACTGAACAACAACAAAAAATGTTTAACTTATTGTGAATAGACTAACTTCAAAAAGGTTAACTCGCTACAACTCCAAGCCCAGGTAAGAGAGAGAAGAGAGGTCCTATATAAAATGAACTAGAAGGCAAGCAACAGCCAAAGAGGGTGGGACCAACTGCCAAGTGTTCCCGAGTGAGAGAATGCTCTTAATCCCTCCCAGATCTTCTTGCATGCAGAGTTACAATATCCAACAGTTGTAAGGATCAAATGGAGGCAGGGCCCGGTGGGGAGCTGTGCATAGTGCCCTGATTTGGGATAAAATGCAATGTTTTAGATAATGGAAAGGGTGGACTGGATATACCTTGGTCATCTTCAGTATAATAATCCTCATCTTCCAGGCCTGGATTGTGGAGACTGGTGCATTGCTTCCAATTCCCTCATGTTAGAGCACTGTAAGGAAAAGCTGAATGTTTATTTCTGGCTTCATCTGGATCTTGGTCAGTTAAGCATTTTGAGAAGGGCAAATGCAGCTGTGGTGTTTTTTCTAGCATACTTCATTAGAAAGTTGAAATTGTGGATCCCCGTAGGTTTGATGATGGGTTTCTTAGAAGCAAACCTTGTTAAGTCTTCATTGCTATTGTATATTTTTTTTCCTTGCTGTTTTTTTTTTTGTTTCCTCACTGGCTTATCATTGTTAAGACATAGTTATTAATGGCATGTTCATCTCCCCCTCCTTCCCCTTTAAAAATAATATTTCTAAGCAGTAATCACCAGAGTGTTTAGGAGTATTTTGTATTTGAAATGCATTTCAAAGTGACACCTGCTGTTTAATTACTACTACAGCGGCCCAGTATCACTGCTGTGTACGTTCTGCAAAATGATCTCCTCAAATGTTATTGTTTTCTGCAGAAACCCTGTTTATTTACTATAGTTATGCACCACTGTTCAACCAAGGATGCTTTGCCAAATGGCTTACAACCCATAAAATCTGGCTTTAAGGTTCAGTGTATTAGGTATATGTGTGTGTGTATCAAGGGGGTTGTTTGATGGTCTCAATAGGCCATAGTCCAGATTTCAGGCATTCTGTTCGTATGCAGGGGGAAGAAACATCTGTAGGTCAGTGGAGTCCAGTTAGGTAAGACACTGGATAATACACACACACATACACATACACACACACGGTTTCACTGGGGGGGCCCCTTCATTTTACTGGTCTCTTCTTCCACACACATAGGGGGCTGCGGTGGCTCAAGTGGTTAAGACGCTGAACTGCAGGCTGTGGAAGGTCAGTAGTTCAGCAGTTCAAGACCCGGGTGCCGCAAGACGGGGTGAGCTCCCATCTCTAGTTCCAGCTCCTGCCCACCTAGCAGTTCGAAAGCAAGAAATTGCAAGTAGATAAATAGGTACCACTTTGGTGGGAAGGTAACAGCGTTCCGTGCGCCTTGGTGTTTAGTCATGCCGGCCACATGACCACGGAAACGTCTTCGGACAGCGCTGGCTCTTCGGCTTTGAAACGGAGATGAGCACCGCAACCCTAGAGTCAGATTCGACTGGCTTTCGAGCAAGGGAACCTTTACCTTTTTCTTCCACACATGAAGCTGCCTTATACTGACTCAGATCGGTGGTCCAAAGTCAGCATTTCCTCAGAAGGCCAGTAGCTCTTCAGAGTACCAGGCAGAGGTCTTTCACATCACCCGATGCCTGGTTGGTTTAACAGAAGATGCTGGGGATTGAACCTGGGGCCTCCTTCATGCAAAGCAGAGGTTCTTCCACTGAGCCACAGCCTTTCCAATTTCAGGGCTAATAACTGCATGTGGAGTTGGTTTTGATTGGCAACATCCACTGGTGTCGATGGCTACAGGGAGAGTGACTGCTTAAGATGGTGGTACCATCGAAAGGTTTTCCAGAAACCACCACCACCACCCCCAAAAAAAACACCCCACAAAACATGTAGGTCCAAAGGAGGCCTCTTTTCCATGCTAGGGACTTGGCTACTACCAATAAGAGATACTTTTGAAATTCAAGGCAGGATTTGGATGCAGTGTGGCATTGAGCACAGAAATACTGGACTAAAACACCATGAGAACCATGGAAATCTAGATTTTCAGGGGAAGGAGACCAATATTTTTATGGGAGGAGATCACATATTCCTGTGAAATCTAACCACTGTCTCAGGTCATCAGAACTGAGGCATATCCTTGTGGAGGAAGATTTGTGGTTCATCTTGGAATAACCCAGGTACAGTGAGTTATTCATTGTGTGTAGGTAGGTAATTTCTGTTGCCATTCCCTTTTAGACCCACATCTGAGCCCTCCCTCCACCACCCAAACATCCCTTGCAGATGTGACCTAAGGGTACTATAAGCACTCATGCTCTGAAGGGACTGGAAGGCAGCGTTAACTGAATTGTAGGACAGATAAGCCAGTCTCCTGTAGTGACCAGCCTGAGAACTCTTGCAAGAACTGTTGACCTTTAAGCAAGATGGATAAAGACCTTTCATTTGTCTCTCCCATCACTGAAAGCAGAACTGGCAACAGCCCATAACAGTGTAGGTGGGACTTTTACAGGAGAATAGTCATTGTGAGAGACATCCTGCAACCACTGATCTTTGACAGCGTTGCAAAAAAAGGGGGTGGGGAAAGGAAACTGTCTTATCAGATTATTGGTCATCTAGCTCAGTATTGTCTACTTTAGATGGCAGCAGTTGTTCAAGGTCTTGGGCAGAGAGCGATCTTGAGCACAATTAATCAGACCACTTGTCCACCAAGGTCAATATAGTCTACTATGACTGGAAGCAGTTGTCCAGGATCTCAGGCTGAGGTCTTTCACATCAGCTACTGCCTGGTGCTCTTAACTGGGGATGCCAGGGATTGGACCTGGGATCTTTTGCATGTCAAGCAGATGCTCTATCACGGCCTCTCCCTATCTTTCCCAACACCTGTCAGTGTAGCCCCTTTAATAGGAGATGTTGGGGATTGTACCTTGGACTTTTTTCTATTTTTTTTTTAGGGGGGGTGAGTATTTGTGTGTGCGCGCGCGCGCGTGCGCGAGCCTGGGAGTCATGGTGACTTCTGGCGACCCCTAATGGGGTTAGGATGTTTCAGAGAGGTGGCTTGATAACCTGTCTCTGCATCCCAGCCCTGGTATTCCTTGGAGTCTCCCTTCCAAGTACTTGCCAGGGTCGGCCCTGCTTAGCTTCTGAGATCTGACGAGATCGGGCTTGCCTGGGCTATCCAGTCAGGGCGTACCTGGGGCTTGATGTATGCCAGGCATGAATTGTATCAGTGAGCCATGGTCCCTCTCTCAACATCCCCTCTTCATCTAGGGTGCAGAAAACCTGCATGCTATCAAACTTGAGTTTAAAAAGTTTAATAAATGAGGTTGGTATGGGCTGAAATGAGTTTAATACATTTGGTTGTTTACACTCTTTGATTCTGTATCTGCCCACCTCCTTTTCCGTGGCATCCCTTAACCAGCTGGGTGAGTGGGGCATGGCCTGAAAGGTAGAGGCAGCAGGCCTATTCCATACTGTGGCTGGCTACTTGCTTAGGATCGGAGGGGCTTGTGTGAGCACTATGCCTGGCCCCCTCTGTGCCTATTCCATATTGTGTGAGCACTATGCCTGGCCCCCTCTGCTTGTCCCGTGTCTTCTGCTAAATAGTCTGAGGATTCAAGTTCAGTTTGCAAAGAGGAGGAAAATAAGGCTGTAAGTTTTAGTGACTTTTTTTTAAGGAGCAATTCTTCAAGATATTAGCATAATTTTGCACACTGTTGTCTCCAAGGGTATCAAACAAATGTGGTAAAGAATGGGAAATTATTTGCATTGTGAAAAATAACTTGAAACCCATCTGTTGTCTGACAATACATATTGTACAGAGGTTTCCTGTGTACATCCGGGTTTGATCAGCACAAGACAGCTGTGCCAAAGACAGGCTAACTTTTCCCCTACTTAGAAACTCTGGCAGAACCTAAAACAACATAAAGGCCAGTTTGATTCCTAGTGTAGACTTTTCCGGACTTTACTGAAATTGGAACCCAAGATAAAACCAGTGTGGTGTAGTAGACAGAGTGCTGGCCTTAGACTGAGGAGACCTGGGTTCTAGTTGCCACTCATTTATAATGCTTGTGGGACACACAATGGTCTGTGCTAGTTGGTAGCTTCTCTAGGAGGTACTGTTCCTCCCCTTTCTCAGTTATTGTTGCCATCATTTGGGGAAAGCACCTTCTGGAGAGAGATCGAGATCCAGGAGAGGACACAGCAGTAGTTCATATTACTTACTGTAGTTCTGAACATCTGTGTCAATTTGAATGCTTATGTCAGATGACTAATTGGTCCAATCGAAGGTCTTTATAAGGCAGATTTGTAGGTCTGGATTTGGAGTAATTATGCCATATATACTTGGGGGTCACACTACATTGCTGTTGTGAGTATCAGAAGTCCCCTCCATCCTTGTCTCCCTTCTAAAGCACCCTTTGGAGGAGGAGGTTTGTACTGAAGAAAACACAGGGGGGGACGGATAGCTTAATCCTTCTTCCCGCTGTCATTTCCCCACTAAAAGTCCCACCCCCCAGGCAGCTTTTATCCCCTGGGCTTCCAGACTTGCTTTAGAAAGGTAAACCTGAATCTAGAATATTGGCAGGGTTAAAAGTGGCTTAGTTTGGGGGATGAGGGACTCTTGGGAAAGCAGTAGTTAAACATTCCCATTCCCCCCTTCCCTTCTCCCTTGCAAACTGACTCTTCCCTAAGTTAACATAGCACGGCAGCTTTGGGAGCAAAGCTACATGTTGTATTGGTTCAGCCATAACAAAGCTCTCTTCTCAGGTGTCTTTACATCTGATAAGAGAACTTCGCTACGGCGGAACCAATATAACATGTAGCTTTGCTCCCAAAGTTGCAGTGCTATGTTTAAAAAAGGTAAAGGTTTCCCTTGCTTGAAAGCTAGTCGAATCGAACTCTAGGGGGCAGTGGTCATCTCCATTTCCAAGCCGAAGAGCCAGCATTGTCCAAAAACTTCTCCGTGATCATGTGGCTGGGCTGACTAAAATCTGTTACCTTCCCACTGAAGTGGTACCTATTTATCTACTTGCAATTTCTTGTTTTTGAACTGCTAGGTTGGCAGGAGCTGGGGCCAGAGACGGGAGCCCACTCCATCACGCGGCACTCGGGATTGCTATGTTAACTTAATACTAAATTCCACTGAACTCAGTGGGACTTACTGGTAACTTGCCTAGGAATGAGCTGCATGTGTCTCTGATCATAATAGCGGCCCTGAAACCTCTTTTCCTACAAGCAGCTACAGTAACCTCAAGCTATCACTGTTGGGTATACGCTGATGACCGTGCCAATGTGCAGTGGAAGGTGCCACTTGCTTTCAATCAGCATAGCAGAACTGTTCTGAGGGCAAAATTGAGGACACCGTTTTTAACTGTCCACATCTCTTTGGAGGAAGGTTAGGAGTAAAAATATAATAAACGGTTCAGCCAACTTAATCATGGTTTAGTACAGTCTACACTGAGCTGTAAGCTATTATCAGACTGAAGCTCTTTTTGTCTTGCTGATGTAGATTAACTCAGCGAGCCCTAACAATTTGTCTCATATTAATTTTCACCTCCTGTCTTTTAGAGAAAAAGAACAAAATTTATCGCCCTTGATTTCCTGACTGAATGGTTGTACAAGTAAGTCAGTTACTGTTGTAAATGTTAAACATTCCTAATACTGCATTTTTTGTTTATACAAATTGAGACGTCTGTGCTTTATATAGATTTTTAAATGATATCTCCTTTTAATGTATGGTGAAATAATCAGTCGCAACCCGAAGAGGAAAGATGAACCATTTGTAGAATTCTTCGAGATCCCTTTTGTGAAGGATTGGCTAAAGGACCAGTAAGTATTGCTGCACATTCAGACTGACTTTCCCCTTCTCCCTCCTCCTTTCCACCAAATGTAGATAGAAGTGCAACAAAACTGTCTCCTTTTGATTTCCTTTTATTATTCATGTGTAGCAAAGCATCTCTGACATGCATGCTAATTTGGTAGCTACCTAGATTCAAGTCATTTTGTCCTAGATTAATTTGCACAGAAATTGGACTGGAGAGCTCTAAACATTTCATTATTCTGAAGAACAGGGGATTTTAAATTGCCTGCTGTTATTATGAATATCTTTATGCTATCTGGTGCAACAGTTTGAAAACTTTCTTTTCTGGGGCTACATTGGTAAGAAATTGTTCCTCCAATGTGTTTTAAAACAGCAAACGGTGCTCTTTATTATTATTATTATTATTATTATTATTATTATTATTATTATTATTATTTTGCCACTTTGCAATTACACTGTGACAGTCGAGGCCAGCTATTCAATCAAACATCAACATTCTTACTCTGAATTTTTAAGTGATCATCTAACATGTGATATGTGTGGAATTTACTTGTGAATTTTTGTGCATTGTGCTGTGGAAAATATATACATTTTCTCTCCTGGAACCATTTTTACACATAAAGCTGTTTTACATATGAGGGCTCATCTGAACTACAGTCATGTGGAAGAAAAAGCTGCTGAGAGACAGGGGACAAAGTGGAGACACGCTTCCTGGGGCTCTGGTAGACCTGAGGGACAATGGGGGTCCTGTAAAGTCACAGGATTTGTTTTTATGTGGTGACTGGGGTTGGTCTGGGAGTTTTGAGGGGCAGTCCAAAGGGAATCCTTGTCCGGGGGACCCATGATGACTCTCAGCTGCCCTTTGTGGAGGCTTCTCTGCAGTAGGTCAGCTGCTCTTGCCTATTGGCTCATAGGAGCCTAACCTTTTTTTTGTGGACTCGCAATGGCATGGTGCAAAATTACTGCAGTTATCTAGGAAGTCTCTTGACTCCAGTAGTTAGCCATTTGGAGTAGCCTTTAACGGCTGAGCTACACATGCAGTGGGAGAGATTGAGAATGGTGGCAGTAGAACAGACTGTACTATAGGGGCTCATACGAACCCTTAGAAACCTGCACATAGGGGAGGGGCTATGACTCATTGGTAGAACCTCTGCTTTGCATGCAGAAGATCCTAGAAGATCCCAGATTCAGTCTCTTGCGTCTTCATGTGGTAGGTAATATGAAAGACCTCAACCTGAGAACCTGGAGAGCCATTGCCCATCACTGGATTAACTTCGAGAGGCAATTATATTTTGTATACATTTTTGATTGTTTTATGGGTGTAACTATTTACCATCTAGCCACACTTGTATGACCTCTGAGGAAGGCCGATCCGGCCGAAACGCGTCAGGTCATTTTTTTAGCCCTGGTTATGATTATGGTTTATGTATATTGTCTGTAATTGGGCCCCTATATATGTTTTAACTTGATATTATTAATAAATACATGTACTTCTTTTTATCAATGGGTTTTAATATTGGCCCTCTTTTCCAAAAATACCAGGTGCCATCAAGAGGTCCAGCAGTAGGGCCAGGGCACTAGAAGCCCTCCTACTGTTGCCCCCCCCCAAGCACCAAGAATACTTGCCCTAGACCTAGAGTTTCTATCTACACCTTGTGTCTGATATCCACTGATGGACCTCTGCTCCATATGTTTATCCAGTTCCCTCTTGAAGCCGTCCATGCTTGTAGCCCCCACCACCACTTAGTATATAAGGAAGTTTTGTGTACTCATCTATGCTGCACAAACCTATGATTGTTGAAGGTGTCCTCTCTTAGAGTGGCATGGTTGACTATGACTAATTTCTGTTCTATGGAACACTTTCCCCCTTAAAGGTGCAAAAGATCTTCTCCTTGTTGGCCTTCAGGGAACTGTAAAAATTGCTTTAGTTCAGATAATGTTTGTATGAATTTTATGGATTTGTCTTTTGCTGTGTATGAGATTACTAGTTTTAAATATATTTTTAATTTGAGAGTGATTGTTGCTGCCTTTGCAAGCGTGCTTCCAGATAATAAGGCGAATGCTTTGTGTACTTGATCCTATCCACGTTGACACAGAAACAAGTTACTGTTGTGAAAAAAGATGCTGCAGGGCATGTGGTCTGTTTCTTTTGAAGTTTTTGGCCTTCTTAGAACAGAAAAACAGCCTTCTTCCCAAAGCAGAACTAAACTAACAAAAATGTTGCCTTATAGATATTTTGAAACTTTGGTCTCTCAAATGAAGATGACGTTCTATCAATTTTTTTGTATGACTGATTTGATTTCAGCCCAGCTATATTAAAGCAGGAAGCTTGAAAAAGTCATTAACATTTCATAGATGGGCTGGTGACAATTCCATTACCCTATCTGCATTATTCATATAATTGAAGATAGGGGTCTATTTAACAGTTAATATAATGGAAGGGAAGAGAAGCCACTCTTGGGGGGAAGTAATGGCTCACCCTTTAATTAGTACTTAATTTGATCTTTAAAGGTACATTAAGTGATGAGCCATTACTTTCCCCAAGAGTGGCTTCACTTCTCCCCCATAGTGTTAACTGTAAAACAGATGCCTATTTTTACTGAAATTAGTGATCTCAACTAGGAATAGCCGCTACTCTTAATGGGCATCAGAACTCCTTGACTCTGGTGTAGCCTAGTCTTTTCCATTTCTCGCCCTATCCATTCCTTGGGTAAGCCATAGAGCTAGACTGAAACTTTCTGTGCTGATTCCCGTTCCATATTGCACATCTAGGAAAGGAACTGTTATCCCTGGAGTTAAATTCAGTCCACCAGGGTTTTCCTCTGGATTGGGGCTGCTTACACCAGGCCAGCAACAGTTCTAAAAACCGGCAGTGGCAGCCATGATATCCGGGTTGAGGAAAGACCCATTTTATCTCGTCAAAAGCCAACCTAGTTCGAGCCACAGCAGAGAGGAAGAGACAGCAGCTGCGGAGCTTTGCTTCGATCTGTGGCCCAGGGGAGGTGAAGGCCCTTCCCCATCTGTAATTCTTAAAGGCTGCCAGCTTTTCCTGGAGCTGACTTTGGTGATGGGAGCTTTAAGGAGGGTGGAGGAAGAGACAAGCGGAGGCCCAGTAGTCACATTTGGGAGGAACTTTCGGAGAGAAGGAGGGCTAGTTAATGTTAATGATTTGATTGCTGAATTTAATTATTTAATAATTATTTAATTTAACATGAGCTGCCTCAGAGTTCTTTCTGCGTACCAAGATGGCATGCCATTTTTAAAAAACCAACTGGTCAATAAATCTTCAGCGGTGACCCAGTTTGTGATCTGCAGCTAGAAAGGTTTAAATGTATGTTCTACAAGTAATGCAGCCAAAATGCTTTGCAAATATCAGGTGTGCAGGAGGATGTAACTGGAGTAGTATTGCACAATATGAAGATACATTAACAGCCTCATTCAGATTCACCTGCAGCCTTGCTGAAGGAGAAAAGGAAATAGCGTACATTTTTGCATGAGTGGGGTTTCCTGTGCCATCTGCCCCCAGCCAGCTGGCACATGAGCTCTTCTGACTAGGGTTACGAATCTTCCAGTTCCCTTTGCAAAACCACTAGCGGTGTAAAACCCGTTGGAAGTCTCTGTTGGGTAGCTATTCATTCCCAGCCCCCTGAATTCTCAAGCAGGTATGCCCTGCTTGTATCTGTATATACTCTTGTATATACTCTACTGGAGCTGATGTTTGCTTCTTTGTTCTGAGAGCAAATAGTCAGTCCTCCCCCCGCCCCCCACTGCCACACACACCCTTTTATTTTTTGCCAGCAAATGTATATGTCGGTGTGTATGGCACAATTTCTCTTCCCCCCCCTTTTCTTTTCGTATTCAAATTTCCCAAAGTCTGCTGTCTCAGCTGCCTTTATAGTTGACACCACTGTCAGTTCTCAGCTGGCCAATCGGGCTAATTTTGCACGGGTGACTGGCTTTTTTCTTTGCTCACAATGCAATACGCTTCTACACGCATAGCAGTATTTCAGAACTCTGCCTCTACCCCGGTTGTGCCATGAGCATTCATTTTAAACTCTCCGCTAGGACTGCTGCTTCTTGCCAGCTCCTAATATCAGGGTGACAAGTCTGAAAATTTGACACAGGCTTTCTTTTGGGTACCCTTTAAAATAAATAAGCATCCTATGAAAAAGCAGGTGCAGCCATTTGGTTTCAAATACCTCCTAATTAGTGTAGGTTTTTTTGCTTTCAAATATTCACATCCTCCCTACCAAACCACAGAGGTGCCATAGATTTCTAAAATGTACTTCATTTATACTCTGCGTTTGTCCCTAATGGGGATCCAAAACGGCTTGCATTATTCTCTTCTCCATTTTATCCTCACGAAACCCCTGTGAGGGTGGTTAGGCTGAGAGTGTGTGACCGGACCAAGGTCACTCAGCATGCTTCCATGGCAGAGTGGGGACTCAAACCTGGGTCTCTTAGATCCTACTCTGACAGTCTAACCTCTACATTACATGGATTCTCAGCAGTTTTGAAAAATACGTTATAAACAGCAAAAAACTAAAACAAACCCATGAAAGCAAAACAGCTATCCCCAGCATAACCAGCAAAAACGTTTCCAGGCTCCTTTCCCCAGAAGGTTACCACACACACATGGGTTTGTTTCTTTCTTCCAAAATCTACTGAACTGGAAGACGTACAAAGGAAGGCAACCAAGATGGTTAAGGGGTTGGGGCACCTTATATGAAACTACAGGGAAAGGCTGGTGAGTCTGGGGTTAGTATACAGAAAAGACACCTAAGGGGAGACATGGAAGAGGTTTATAAAGTTATGCATGGGGTGGAGAAAGTGGCTAGAGGGAGCTTTTCTCCCCCTCCTCCTCCCAGTGAAGTTGGGAAAGGTCAAACCAGAAAAAAGTTGTTCAACAGTGGAACCAGCTGCCTCTGGAGGTGGTGAGCTCCCCCTTATTGGCAGTCTTTAAGCACCAGCTGGACAACCCTTGTCAGGGATGCTCTAGGCTTATCCT